ACCAAATCCGTAGCCGATCGGGAACGCGTCGAACGGAGCCGCAGCACCGCGACAGGTTATACTCGGACTCGCCTCGACTCCTTTCCAGGATCGTGCCACCTCCGTTAATCGCTGAATCGCACAACTTCGCGGTATCCTAAATAATTACGTTTATCGCGAAAACACGGTTCGCCTTCAACGCGACGCGTTCCTATCTTCGCTGGTATCTTCACCGCGAAACATCGTTGCACGCTGATTTTTACGATCTCGATCGTTCGCTTTCTCGCCCCTTCCTCGACTATTCCGCCGGGACGGTGCAACATTCGCAACCGTAGAATCCCCTGCTGGAAAGAAGGCTGCAAATCGTCGCGCGACGATCGAGGTCGCCGAACGGTCCGTTTAACGAGCAGGAAGTAATCTGTTTCAATAAGATTGGCCGAGTGACGTTCGTAAACGCTCGAGTCGACGACTCGGCCGCATCCTCCGTGGAAAATTTCGCGCCACGTCTAGCGCGTCGTCAGGTCGACGGACGCGGTGCCGTCAGGCCCAGTCGATATTTATTGCCACGCGATTTGTTATTCGGCTGCCGCTCTACTCGAATAATAATTAAAGTAAGGTTGGTCGCGGCTCGGCGCGGCGGACGCCCACGTAGGCGCCGTTTATGCTTCGCTGCGGCTTTCCTCCGGCGACGACGGCTCGCGACCGTTCGCTCTCACCGTACCCGGCTCGGCTCTCGCGTCTACCCGCGGATCCTGTACGCTTTGTCGCGTCCCACGCGCACCTTTGCCCAACCTGAATCGAATTTCTCCCGATGCGATTGCAGGGACAATCTGTATCGGCTGACTCTAAACTCGCTGACGGCGCTCGAGCACGCTTCGTGGCCCGCGCCCGACGACAAGGCCAACACCTGTCAGAACAAGGGACAGAGCGTCGAGGATTGTCGCAACTACGTCAAGGTATTGCTCAGCAATGGCAAGAGCCTGTTCACTTGTGGCACCTACGCCTTCAGCCCTTGGTGCACCTGGAGAGAGGTAAGCACGTCGCGTCGACTCGACGATTCGAACCGTATGCGATTTTCAATGAAACATTGCCGCGTTTCGCAGATCGAGAACATCAGCAGCGTCACCAGCGAGATGTCGGGGGTGGCGATGTGCCCTTACTCGCCGCACGCGAACGTTACCGCGCTTCTGGCAAGGGGTTCGTCCGGGGGCCTATTTACCGGGGCACCGACCGACTTTTCCGGAGCCGATCCCGCGATCTGTAGAACGCTCGCTCCGCCAAACCTTCGCACGCATCAATACGACTCGCGGTAAGTTTTCGTCAAAGTTCGTTGTCGCGAAAACTACACCGCCATTTCTCTACGATTTTTCACCGACGATCTCCAGATGGCTGAACGATCCGCAATTCGTCGGGAGCTTCGAGACCGAGGACCACGTGTACTTTTTATTCCGCGAGTCGGCCGTCGAGTACATCAACTGTGGCAAGAAAGTCTACTCGAGGATAGCGAGAGTCTGCAAAAACGACCGCGGTGGACAAATAATGATGAGGGAAGTTTGGACTACTTTTAGCAAGGCGCGATTGAACTGTTCCCTTCCCGGAGAGTTTCCCTTTTACTACGACGAGATCCAAGGCGCGGTCTATCATCCGGAAGAAGACGTCGTTTACGCGACCTTCACCACGCCCGTGTGAGTATCAACCTAATTCCGTCCGGCTGTTATTTCACGTTTCTTCGATGCCTTCTTTTTACCATGTCTGTGCTCTTTGCTCGACCGGATTACCATTTATCGGGGAACGAATCAGGGTAGGTAACGACGTTTAAAAGGCAGATTCACGACGAACCGAGCGGAAAGTAGGAGCACGCGAGAGAGAAAATCAGAGAGAGATCTCTAATCGGTGCGGGTTGCCGCTTATTTTTAGCAACGGAATTGCCGGCTCGGCGATCTGCGCGTTCAGCATGTCCGCCATCACCGCCAGCTTCAACGGCCCCTTCAAGCACCAAGAAAACTCGGGCGCCGCCTGGGAACGCAGACCCGTCCCTCACCACGATAGACAACGATGCACCGTCTCGGCTAACGTTGCACCGCATCAGATCATTGACAACCAGAGGTATCAGCTGATGGACGACGCTGTCCAAAGCACCACCCGCGAGCCTCTTCATACCACGATACTCGAGAGGTTCACGCACATCGCGATCGACGTGACGCCTACCAAGTTGCATCGCAGCGTCACCGTCCTCTACGTCGCCACCGACGTCGGCCTGATCAAGAAGATCTCGGTGTTGCCAAGAACGCAAGAGACTTGCATCGTCGAGGTCTGGGGTCCAATGCCGTCCACACCTATGGTCCTGCAGTTCTTGAAGGATACGCAGAGTCTTTACGTCGGCATGGAGGTCGGTCTGCTCAGGTACGTCCGGTAGATTTATACACCTACGGGAAAAACGTCGAGTTGGAGGCGGAAAGACGAACGGAATCGAATCGGTTTTTTTACAGAATACCTGCTGCTCAGTGCCATCGACATCGCAGCCGTCAGGCTTGCCTGAACGCTCAGGAACCGTACTGCGGCTGGAACGAGCACCTGATGAAGTGCGCCCCGGCTCCGAAGCAAAACCACCTGGCGAATCATTGGCATCAAGAGGTTACCAAGTGCCCGGTACTCACGGACCCCGTGGACGGCGGTTGGAGCGCGTGGAGCTCTTGGTCCCCGTGTCAACACGGTGTCGGGGATCAGACCCGTTCGCACTTGCACTCCCACGCCGCCCACTCTCGATCCGAACACGCCGAGGTTGGTCTATCGAAGGGCGTGCGATCGCGCCGAACCACCTGTCTCAACCGGAATTGTCGCTTTTGTTGCTTAGAACACGGACAGCTGTCAGTGTCAAACCCGGGAATGTAACAACCCGCCGCCACAGCACGGCGGTGCTAATTGCTCGGGCACCAGGGTCAGGGTGACCAACTGTACAGTTCACGGCGATTGGACCGCCTGGTCCGCTTGGTCCGCGTGCTCGCAAACCTGCGGCTTCGCGATGAAGACGCGACGACGTACCTGCACGAATCCAGCGCCCGCTTTCGGCGGTCGCGTCTGCGTCGGCCACGATCACGACGATATCGTTTGCATAGATCTCCCGCCCTGTCCCACCCCCGCCAAGGTGGCTCCGCCGCCCCAGACAGGACAGTGGTCATCCTGGGGCGCCTGGAACTCTTGTTCTCGCCCCTGTAACGCCGGTAAGTCCCGCTAACCATCCCCATCGCATCACCGCTTCGTTTTCGACTAATTTTCTCGTACCTTCGTAGGAATACGAATACGACGAAGAACGTGCGAGAACTCGTCCTCGCGCAAGAGTTCCTCCGTCGTCGAGTGCAACGGATGCGACTTTCAGGTAACGTTCTGGTAACGACGCGAAGTATCGCGACACCAGCCAATCTATCGTTCTCTTTAGGTGGAGGAATGCAACACCCATCAATGTGTCGAGACGAAAAGGTACTCCGGTTGGACTCCGTGGCTGGCTGCAAACACCAGTTTACAAAACGGAAACGTCGGATATATCGAGAAGCGTTTTCGATTTACCTGCCGCGCCCAAACGGACGATCCCTCCAGCGTCAGAGTGCAACTGGCTAAGGAGGAAGAGCGTTACTGTAGAAATGACGGCTCTTGTCTACGGGGAAACGCGAACCAAAACGGATACGCGGATCTCGCGACGGAGAACGGGTGGAGCGAATGGTCTTCTTGGCGACCGTGCGATCGTCCTTGCGGCGGAGGATCGCAACAGAGGGTACCAGCACTTTGCGCTTCTCTTCGTTTCTTCCCTTTACTTTTTCTCTTTCCCTTATCTTACCTCTGTAAACGACCGTAGGTGAGACAATGCGAATCGCCCCCCTGCGAAGGCGGTTTGTCGCTGCAAACCAGACTGTGCAACGCGCACCCATGCAGGTCGAACGCGGCCGGCTCTAGCGCGGAAGGACAATGGTCCTGCTGGACCGATTGGTCCGAGTGCTCGGTCTCCTGCGGCGCAGGGGTTCGCACAAGGACCAGGGAGTGTTTAGCCCCGGAGAGTTGCGAGGGACCGAGGTTGGTGAAAGAAATATGCGAGATGCCCAGCTGCGAGTCGCTGATCGGTTGGGACACTTGGACGCGTTGGACGCCGTGCAACGACGACCATCAACAGCACCGAAAACGACATTGCTTTACGAACGGCGTGCCTGGTACGTGTCTGGGACCGAGTCGGGAAACGCGCGATTGTTTGCCCGATTGCACGGAAAACGGTGAGTAAGATTAACGACTGGCTTCTCTGTCTCTCGCCTTTCGTTCAAATTTTACGTTCGCATTTTCAGACGTAAACGCGCGTGCGAGGACGGAACAATCAGGAGCGGCGATAGGCGCGATAGTGGGTAGCTGCGTCGTAGGATTCCTCGTCGGCTTGGCTCTGACCGCGGTTGCAGCTTTTTGCTACCTGAAACGGCGCCAGCAACGGGTCCCCGGCAGTCCGCATTACATCAGCAAACAAAACCCCTACGTAACTGTTCCGTTGAAGGAGGTGAGCATCCCTCACTCGCGTACCTGATCAGCGTTCAACGATTTCCTTTTTCCTTTACGACAGGTGAACGCCAAAAGACAGCCCAGTTTCTCCGGCAGCACGAACGGTAACGGAACGCTTCGCGCGAAGAACAATCCAAACGTGAACGGTCTCGGCAGTCCGAAGTTGTACCCGAAAAGTTTAGACTACGAGTCCGCCACGTTGAAGCGCAACAGCCACGGACAGCAGCATATTCGAGTCGATTTGGATCAAGACAAGTACTATTGAACGTGCCATGTGCCACGCACGGGGAAAGTTTATTCGCCCGAAAGACGGTTTTCGATTGAAACGCGCGCGATCGGACGTTTTAAGTTTCGCTCGGAACGAATCGCCATGAAGGCGAGGAACGAGCGGCGAACGAGAAAGAGAAGCTTTTCTAGGATCGCGGGAAACCGCTTGGCAGCTTTACCGATAACGATCGATACTCGACGAGAAGGAAAAAGGTATTTCATCGTTTCGTACTCGTTTATTTTAAAGGACTGACGATGACGACGACGACCAGTTTTGGTTTTGCGTCGAACGATTTAAGTGCCATTTCAGGTGAGATTGCGTCGCACGCGCGTACGAAACAAGTTTATCCGGCTCGCGCGTGCAAACAAAAATGTACCTATACGTATGAATGTGAACCTGTGTGTGTGTGTGTGCATGCTTGCGCGTTAGAAGCACACGGTGCATCGATCGCATCGTTTTATTGGCTCACATTGAGTCGCGGCCACGCGTCCACTTGTATGCGCAAACGATATCCGAGAATAAAAAGGGAAACGATCGTCCGACCGGCCGAGGCGCGTTCAGTTAATTGTAAGCGCCGTAATCCGGATACGAGACGACCGGTCTTCCACTGTCCGATATGTAGTTTGCCACTTCGAACCGACCAATTCCGCGCAAACAGCGACGACGTTCCACGACCGAACAGACTTTCCACCCGAGCCCCATTTAATATTCTCTCTACTCTACCGCGATATTTCCCAAACGACCCAACGTATCGCTCGACTCCAATAAACTCGATGATAACGCTCCTACGGAGTCTACTTTCGCCGGAACTTTTTCTTCTTTTCCTTTGTACATGTTCCTTCGAAGAACGATACGTTAGCCCGTTAAACAAGGCGAAACGCGTCGCGATCCCTTCACATATCCGCAGCCAAACGTTCGATCGCCTCGATAACGAAGTCCATCGAAGCTTCCGTCGGCGGTGGTTGACAGGTAACGACCATTCGGAAGAAATTGCCGATGTTGGCGTAAGAGAGCGGCGTGTAGCCGACCATCAACAATCCATCGATCATCATGCGTCCCTTGATCTTCGAGGTGACCTCGTACAGTTTCTTCCACCAGTCCTGTGTCTCTTCTTCACCCCGCATGCTCGGTGGTACGTACCTGAAACGACAGAATCACCTGTGTATATAGAAAAACGCGGAAACGAGAAACGTGTCGCTTACCAAAAGCAAACGTTGCAACTTTCGTATTGCGGAAGGACGAGGCGGAAGCCGTCGCGATCCTTGATCCGTTCGAAAAAATATTCAGCAGCGGACATTGCGTGATCCACGGATTCGCGGAGGCCCCTGGTTCCGCGAGCTTTCCACATCAGCCACATCTTGGTACCGTCCACCTGTAACCAAGCTGCGCCGTTAGAACCGAAAGAAACGTTCCGACTTACAACGCTCACCTTTCTTCCGCACTGCAAGCTCTTGTCCCCGGTGTCCCAGGATACGTCGTAGTGTTTGTCCTGTTGGAACAAGTACCTCGCACCAGCGCAATTCGCCTCGTGCAAAGCGTTCTTACCTTTCACCAGGAACAGGGAGCACTGTAACGGGGCGCCGAGCATCTTGTGCGGATTCCACGCCACAGAATTCGAACTGTATGAATCGAACAACGCGTAAGATCGAGATTCGAAAAGAGGGAACAAAGTGGTACTGGAAATTCGATACGTACAGCTCGATTCCTTTTAATCGCGATCGGTATTTTTCCGAAAACAACAATGTACCGCCGAGGCAGGCCTGCAACAATGATCATCGATAGAATTAATAAAAATTAAAACCTTTTTACTACCCCTTCACGATTCCCCTCATACTCGTACGAACGTCAACGTGTAACCAGAGATTCTCTTGCTGGCAGATCTCCGCGATTTCCGGCAACGGATCGAACGCTCCGAGGACCGTGGTGCCGCAGGTTGCGTTTACAAAGAACGGTAAGTGACCCAGTTTTCTCGCTTCCTCGATCGCCGCCTTTAACCTGTCCGGTCGCATACGGCCCAATTCGTCGCATTTCACCTACGATGCAATCACCTTGTTAGAAGAAGAAATGAAAATTGCAATCGCCCACCAGGTACCTTGTACACGTTATCCGTTCCCAGGCCTAACCAGTGAGCGCCTTTCGTGATCGAGTAATGTCCACCTTCGCTAGTGAAACAGACGAGCGGTGGAAGACCCACCATCCCTTTGGTCTTCACCTCTGGGACCATCTTGTAGCGAGCCATTACCATACCGTACATGTTGGAGATGCTGCCACCGGGACAGAAAATTCCATCCCCTTCTGGCATCGCTGGATATCCGATCAATCGTAGAGACTGTTCGATCACTTGTCGTTCCAACAATGTGAACACAGGACCTACCTCGTACGTGTATCTGAACGATTGGAATCGTTACGAAAGTAATTCGCTTGGTAGATCAAAGGAATCTGGACTTACTGGCTGGTGTTGAGATAGTCAGTCAACCAGGAACCGATCAGGCCGTAATCGTCGACGCCAGCGTACAGTTGATTGTGAAAGCTGGGACTATAAGTTTTGACCGAATAACGAATCGTCTCCCTTATCGCCTTCTCGATCTCTACATTGTTCGCTGGTTCTTCGGTCAGTTCGATCGATAGTCGTTTCTGTAGAGAAGAGTAGAAAACTTGAAGACACGGTTCGTTGAATCGACGGTTGCGCTCACCTGTAACTCCTCCGGATACACGAATCGTAGGACGGGTCGATCGTTGTCGGCATCGAACGCATCTTCCTCCTCGATTATTCGGACCAGCAACTGCATCAACTCGAAAGTTTCTTTGTTGGCTCGTGTCGCGTCCATTGCGTAGCATAAACTGTAGCGGAAAGAACGGTCGACGGCGCTCTCGAAGCAACGTCGTTCCCCCACGCTCGAATCGACTTCGATTTCTTCGTTCGTTCGCTCGTTTGATCGGCCGACCGATTTGTCCTCTCGCTCGCCTATCGCCAATTCATTTTCGCGTCGCGCAATCCGTTGAACAAACACGGTCAAGCGGAGCGACGCGACGGCCGGTCGAGAAAACGCGGACAGATTGCGACCACACTAGGAAAATACGAGCGATAAGGCCGAGCAAACCAGTACGAGCAAACGAAACGAAGTTGCTATATTCTTCGAGGAGTTTGATTTTCGATAACAGCGTGTACCCGCGCGTAGCATCCCGCGTTCGACCGCGATAGCCTTCCCCTATCCGGTTCACCGACGTTTGACCTGTCGACGCGAAACGAGTGCCGGACGCGATGAAAAATCGACTCATCATTATATTTGTCAGCAACATTGTAGAAACGGACAGAAAAATGGTAGCTTACGTACCGAGACGGGTTGTTTCGAGGAAGGGGCGTCCGTGGTGACGCGACCGCCAGAAACGACCAGCTCGACTGGCAACCGAGGGACCAGCCCTCTCATCGAGGCCCATTGACCCTCGCAAAGTTCGTGAAAAGTCAAACGCAACAATAGCTTCCCACCCAGGGTGCCGGGACCCCTGCAGATCGCTCCGGAGCCAAATTCCCAAATTTCGAAATTATCCTTCGGCCTGGTCGAGTCGGTTTCGTTTAGCCTAGCCAGGTACCTCTTTTGCAACCACACGGCTAGGTAAGCGGTCGCGCAGTCGCAATGCCAGGGATTTCGAGCCAGACGAAGCTGCTCGATGTGTGGCACCGGGTCCAGTATCCGAGCCGGCAACGACGTCAGGTAGTTCGATTCCAGCTGCCTAGGAATCGAACACGCTTTTTTAACGATTACCTTTGCTACACCTACAGTGGGTCACAAAATTATTCGGTCACCGTTTAAAACAGAATACCTCATTTAAAATTGGACCAAATGACTTGAGGTTTCTCGAGAATCTATAGAAATAAATTTACTTTTGTTGTCTTAAAAAATTACAATTTGTTGAAACCGTGAGAAAAATAGTGAAGGGCAATTTTTCAACTTTTTTATGTGAACCTATAATGAAAATTTTAAATATGACATTTATAAATTTAAGTACGTTATGAGTATGTTCACAATTTTATCGGAATCGGTTAATGCACTGAGAAGTTACAAGTAATTATAATTTCTGAAAATCGTGACTTTTCATCTAACGAAAACTTGTAACTTCTAAGTGTATTGACCGATCTTGATGAAATTTTCAGCAGACACATAACTCATTTGAATCTACAAATGTCATATTTTAAATTTTCATTACAGGCTCAAATAAAAAAGTTAAAAAATTGTTTTTCCCGATTTCGACAAATGGTAATTGTTTAAAACGACAAAAGCACATATCTTATTAAATTAATTTGTATAGCTTCTCGAGAAACTTCACGTCATTTGGTCCAATTTTAAATGAGGTATTCTGTTTTAAACGGTGACCGAATAATTTAGTGACCCACTGTAAATATCCACGACGAGTCGCGCTCACAGTTTCCGCAGGTTCGGCGTGTCCTGAAACAACTCGGGGTGCATTATTCTCAAGCGATTCGAGTGTAAAAACAGAGACGTCAGGTTGGAGAGGCCGTGAAACGCGCCACGCGACAAACTCTCGATGCCGTTCGCGTACAATACCAATCGTTCCAAGCTACTCGACGTCGAAAACATTCCAGGCGTCAAGTTTCCTATCCGATTGTGTCCCAGTTGCAGCTCCTTCAACGCGACCAGTCCTCCAAACGCTTTTGGATCGATCTGCAATGACGAATCTATGACAAAATAAGAGCAGACCAGAACGACTCATCTCGTTCGACAAATTACCCGAGCTATTTTGTTGTTGGACATCTCGAGAGAGCGTAATTGTTCGAGGGGACTCAGCAGACTTCCAGATATCACGGTCAACTGATTGCCTCTCGCGTTCAACTCGCGAAGCGACGTTTGCGCGTTAAACAATCCGTCCGGCAATTCCCTCAGACGATTCTCTTCCAGACCGAGGTACTTGAGGCTCGTCAGGTCGCTGAACATGTCCGCTGATATGCTCGACAGTCGATTCTTTCCCAGCAACAATTCCTCGAGGGCGGTCAGACCTCGGAAGGTACCTGGTGCCAAGCTCGAGATCCGATTGCAAGAAAGATCAAGCAACACTAACGAAGTTGTGCTGAGGAAAAGACTATCCGGCAGTGTTCGCAACCTGTTAGACGACGCGTCGCTGCATCGAAACAGACACCGAGGAAATTGATCAAGCGAGCGAAAAGTCTTTATTTTGTATCGTCGTTCACTTACAGGATGCGAAGATTTCTCGTGATGAAAAACTGAGAGCGATGCAACTCCCTGAGCAGGTTTTTGCTCAACCTGACATGCGTGACCGCGTGCAGCGAGAAGAACAAGTTCAAAGGCAGATGTTCGATCGAATTGTCGCTGAGATCTCTGAAACGATACGTTTCTTTCGATCCTTTGACGGAGAACAAGGTTTTTCTTACTCACAGATGATTCAATCGCGTCATGTCTAGAAACGTGTCCTTGTGAAGCGCCGTCAACCGATTTCCTCCTAGATCCCTGCGAAAACACGGGACAACTGAATAGAAGGGAAGGGGAAAGGATGGTAAAAATGGTGGAGGGCTTACAATTTCAAGACGTCTCTGGGAACGAGCTGGGCCGCAGGAAGGTCCAGCAAATCTTGTCTCCAACAGGATATCGACTTCGTTTCCGGCTGACACCTGCACGGCCCTTCCGCGCATATCTCCCAGTCCTCTTCGGCGGAGCCCATCTGCCAAACTATAAACGCGATATCCGTCGTATTTCGCGAATACGTACACGTTATGTAATACTGGTGATGCTTACCGGGTTGCTCTATCGCCCTGAGTCTTCTCTCGAGACGAGACAAACGGCTCTCGAGTTCCTCGAGGATCGACGCAGGGAACCCGGCGCCTTCGGTTGCGCCCGATCGTTTCGAATTCGAATCGGAAGACGCGCAATCGCGAGACGTTTCCGTCCGCGATTTAGCCTCGACGGTGGTCGTCAAGAGCAGGAGCAGCAGGCGAACGCTTCCGCTGATGGAAATCATGCTCGTCGACTAAACCGTGTTTCTTCGCCGAGGCCTCGGCCCGCTGTGCCCGAATCGCTCTTTACCGCTCTTAATCGTCCTTTCCTTTACCTATCTCCTTCCCTCTTTCGTCTTTCGACCCGCATCCTCGTTGCTTACCACTTTTCGCCTAATGCTCGACAATTGACAAACAATGCTCGAGTTTGTACGCTCTTTGGCCGCGCTTTTCTACCTCCCCTCCCCTCCTACGCCCACCCTCTTTCGTGCAAAGGCAAGGATGTACGAACAGAACGCGTTATCGTGCTTTTTTTTTTCTCCTCCTTTTATTTTCGCAAAAACACCGTTTACTTCGGCTAAAGCTAAGAACAAAGCTGGATTACACGAACGCTATATCGAACGGATGACGCGTTGAAACTTGTAGTGAAGATTTTTCCAGAGGACTAGGAGAGCCTGACGCCATGGGATCCAGGACACTCGCCCTTCTGCTTCATCACCAGTTCTGCGCAGTATCAAAGACGATTTAGAGACGACCGGAGCGCGAACGATAATTTGATACGCGTCTATAAACTTACTGGTGCCCATCTCGCAATTGTGAACGTCCAAGGCGCACTGAGTGCCGAACGTTCTAGGCTTAAAGGTGGCATCGTTCGGATCGTGGGCGCAGATCGGATCGTGAACGGTTCCGCATTCCTTCATACAGTCCTTCTTGTTCTTCTTCGCTTCTTTGGCAGCCTTCACGGAATCTTTTACCTCCTTCGTGGCGGTCGCGGATTCCTTGATCTCCTTTGGCTCTTTGATTTGCTTACTCGGGGCGGTGGTCGTGTCCGACGGTTCGGCGCACGTCTCGTCGAGGAAAGCGAGCGCGCACGCAAGCGTGAACGCTACCGGAAAGCGGCAATTATCAAGTAAGAATCGAGAAAAAGAGGAAGAACGAGCTAATTGATTTCTCCGGACGTTTAGAACACGCGCGACCTTAATTCGCGCGAGCCCCTATTATCGTTAAGCGATCCACCTCTCGCCTCCCGCAAGCTCCTGTCATCGACTTTTCCTTTCGTTTCGCGAGTCACAGATCGTTCTACTTACCAAACAAAACGAAGGATTTCATGGTCTCGACTGATTCTCACGTCTGGAGCACTCTGTAAATATGTTAGATTGGAATTCGCGGTGAGTCGAAAGGATGTACTGCTGGTCGACCGAATGCTAACTGAAACGTTCCGGTGGCTGGCAATCGGGTTTATAAACGGACACACCCCCACCGAGTTCCGTCGTCCGGAAAATACGAGAAGATCGAGAGGATCACGTAGCGGCAATCTTCGAAATTGCTCGCGCCTCCGCTGCGCATCGCCGTGATTGTTAAGTGTCGCGATCTCGCTGGATATGGGACAAATGGACGGAGAGATCAGAGAATCTGCGACACGCGCCTGACATCGATTTATTTGCATTCGAAGGGACAGTCGACGAGCCCGTAGCGCAGCTTAAATGAATAAGTAATAAATAAATGACGCATAAATACGCGAGGGGTCGAATGGATAAACGCTAAGTGTTCGTTCGGAGGGAACGCGTTTCCTCCAGGATGTAACTGGTCAACAACTGCTCGTAATCCGGCCAAATCCGGTCGTTACTCGTCGTGCCTCCTCCAGCCCGGCACCCAAAACTGGAACAGTCCTCGTTCGAGGCTCGATATTGCTCGACCGCCTCGTTCACCACCACCGTCAAACGGTTCAAACGCTCCCAAATGCTCGAATTCGCTGGAACATAGAACGTTGAAAGTGAGTCGAGGCGAGGATTGAATGATTGAGATGACGACCGTGAATTTACCGTCGACGAAACCGCGTCCCTCCTCCTCTTCGTCGTCGTTCGAGCTCCCTTTGTTACCCTTCTTGATCTCGAGCTTAGGGATAAACAGCAGCAGGCATATGATGGCGATGAATTTCACGATCATCTTGAAGATGACCAGCTTCAGGAGAATCTTGGCCAAAGTGAAGGCGTTTAGTTTGAGCGCGAACGGCCACGAAAAGTCGATGGACGGTAAGGTGAGCTGCGTTTCGGCCGTTGCGTGCCCATTCCCGTAGCCGTAGGAGAGACCCGAAGGGGGACCGTAGCTGGAGCTCGGTGGTCCGTAAGCTGTAAAATCGAGTCGACAGGGTTTTAACGATTTCCATAATTTCGACATTCTTTAAGGGGAGGAAAAAGGAAAACACGAGACGGCAATACGATACCTCTTCCCTCACCTTGCTGTGGTGGCAAGTAAGCGTTTCCGGCGTATTCTGACGAGTAGTATTCGTTGAAAGCTGGACCATAAGCAGGACGGGGCGTTTGCGGCGGTCCATAAGAGTTTCGAACTCCCGCAAAGTCGACGGTCGTTCGACTTGGCAGAGTGTACGAATCGCTCGGGACCATGGAGAACGAGTCGCGATCGATCGGACCATGCTGCACGATTCGCGAGTTAGCTTCCGAACGCTTCGGCGTGTACACCGGTCCTTGCACGTACTCTTTCCGCCGCTGAAGTGATCCGCTACCGGTTCCATCCACCGCTACGATTCCCTCGCGAGGATCCGTGCTGGTGCGAGAGTGTCTCAGCGCCTCCAGATAGCTGTCCTTCGAATCTTTCCGTCCGACACTCCTTCCTGGCTTAGCCGCCACTGAATCGTCCTCTACCCACCTGGCTTCCGCTTTTTCCTCTTCGACGCTGCTCGTAGCAAGCGTCGTCGACGACGCCGACGACTCGGTACCGGCGGATTCGCGACCGTTCGCCACACCGACGATCATCAACAACAATCCGAACGCAAACATCACTCGCCGCCTATTTCTTCTCGTCTCGATCATTTTTATTCCCTCGAAATTGATCTTTCGTTTCGAACCGACGCCGTTCGATCCAACTATCTTCGAGTCGCGATGTTTTCGAGTGAGACTCGACGCGACGATTCGAACGAAGCAAAGTCGAAACTTCTGCCTTCCCCTCGAAACGAACGCAGCCACCGCATATTAAACGGCTAACGGTCTTTCGCCTCTATATTCGAGCTTCGTTTTCACCCGTTGTACGTCGATTCGCAAGCTCTCCGCGCGTTCCCTCGATCGTCGAATCGAACCGAACCGAATCGAATCGAAAGAAAGGCGTCGCGTCGTGCCATTGTTATGCATCCGGCGAGCATAGGATAACGGTGTCAACGTTCCTCGAGCCTCCTACGATCCGCTGGCACACTTGGGGCATAACCCGAAAATCGGTCGCGGCGTGCCAACGCGTCCGCTCGTGGAAAGGGAAATTTGCACCGTGATCGATTTCCCGGGGCATCCGCTTCCTCGATCTTCGAAGGAGGCGAGTCGAACGACGCAAAAAGGAGGGCTGATGCTAAGCACGTGGACAGCTGCATCGTCATTTTAGAAGAGTGAAAATAGGCGCGGGCCAAAGCGAGCATGGAAAAGTTGCAGAAGCGCGCAAAAGATCTCGAGGCCGTCAAGGTGAGATCCTCTTCTGCCGCGCCCCCGCCTACTAACCCTGGCTTAGGTGATAACCAGTCTCCCCGACCGCTTTGCGTCTTTCTTTATCATTCATGAATGGGCAGAGTGGTGCGAGAATGTTGCGATCGTCGCCAAAACGAAACAACGTCGAAGCAACCGGTCTGAATCGTCGAGAAGAAGGAGCCGTAGGCTCGAGAAGCGTTTGAGGCATACCTGAAGATGGGAAGGCGAAACTGACACGGGAGCTCCTATTCTCGAAACAACATCTTATCGCGCCTCTCTGTATCGCTCTTTATTGCTCCCATTTGTTTATCTGACGGGAAATCCCCGCGAACCTTTATTAATCTGTTCGCGACTCTGGGCTTTCCCCCACAACATGATTGACTTTTCCTCTTGGCTGAACAAAGGCGAACTGATCGCGATAACCGGTGCGCTCGGCGGCGCGGTGGGTGCAGAGGTTACGAGCGTTATCGAAGTTTGTTTTCGGGGCAACCGGTTACCGCGATGGGGCACCTCTCTCTTCTCTCTGACTTCTCTCAACCTTGGCGAGGTGAATCACACGTGCAATTTACAAGCATTCCGCGAACCGATCGACCAATCGGCAAAGGTAAACGCGAAACGCATCTCCTATCGCGCTTGTCGCGTTCTTCGCGGATTAGCTCGTAAACCGCGTCCTCTCATAAAATAAATACAGATACGGCCAGGGAATACGAGAACAGACGGGGAAGATCGCGCAAACGTTCGCGATACGTGCAGCGAATTTTTATTTATCGATGAAAACACGTACGAGGAAAGAAGAAGATGAAAGCGAGACGAGGTCGTCCATCTCCGCCTCCGATCTCTTCTCCCTCCAGATTGTGTTCGCGAGATCGCGCGAGAACGCGCGATGTGGAACGAGAGAAGAAGAAGAAGTCGGTTTCGTTCGCATATAAAGGAGTCGCGGGAAGCCGATCGCTGAATCTCTCGACGACCGTCTATCGCGAGCAGACTTTTTTCTCTTATCCGTTTCATTACGTATTTATTCATCGCGAATCTTTAATCTGATACGCAACGAACCATGCGGTTCGAAAATCGCGCCGCTCTGGCCGCGCTCCTCGTAGCCGTGGCCGGCTCGTTCGCCGCGGCTGAAAATACTCCCACGGGACGAGTCTGTAAGTATCTACGCTTATAACGACCGATTCTCGCGTTCATCTCCTTTCACTCTTAAAATCACTTTTTTATGTTTGATCAGTCACGATATGCGTGCCCGAAATCTACTGGAAGGAGTGCTCGGAAATGATCAAGGATTCGGCCCTGAAAGGAATACCCATCTCCTGCATTTCCGGCCGCGATCGATTGAACTGCATCGAGAAAGTCGAACAAAAGGTGGCGGACGTGGTGGCGGTCGATCCGGAGGATATGTATCTGGCCGCAAAGGAAAGCCAGTTCGATCCGCGTGACGGCTACAGCATCGTCGAACAGGTGAGAACGAAGGAGGAACCGGACGCGCCGTACCGTTACGAGGCCGTGGCCGTGGTGCACAAGGATCTCAACATCAACAACGTGCAAGGCTTGCGCGGTTTAAAGTCCTGTCATACCGGAATCGGTCGCAACGTGGGCTACAAGATACCGATCACTAAACTCACCGCCATGGGAGTGTTGCACAACCTGCACGATCCAGAGTATTCGGCCCGCGAGAACGAGCTCCGTGCGTTGAGCTCGCTCTTCTCCAAGGGATGCTTGGTCGGCACCTGGTCCCCGGATCCCGCAATCCACCGTAGACTCAGTAAGCCTACGGTCTTCCATACGATCCGATTTCTACCTTGATTTACTAATTTATCGATCTCCCACAGAACAAACCTACTCGAATATGTGCGCTCTCTGCGAGAAACCGGACGTCTGCGACTACCCGGACCTCTACTCGGGATACGAGGGGGCGTTGCGATGCCTCGCGCACAACGGCGGCGAGGTCGCCTGGACCAAGGTGATTTACGTGAAACGATTCTTCGGCTTGCCGGTCGGCGTCTCCCCCGCGATACCAACCACCGAGAATCCGGCCGATTTCCGCTACTTCTGCCCGGACGGTAGCAAAGTACCGATAGACGCGAACACGAAACCGTGTACCTGGGCAGCTAGACCTTGGCAGGGATACATGACAAACAGTGACGTGCAAGACGTGCAAGCTGTGCAAAAGGAACTGACGGATCTCGGTAAGTTGGGAGAGCAAGAAAAGGCAGACTGGTGGAAGGACATCATGTTACTGGACGAGAAGACTTTGGCTGTTGCCGCGCCTCCGATACAGCCCAAAGAACATTTGACCAACGCGAAATATCTGGACGTGATCGAGCGGAACTCCGGAGCGGTGGGCAAGAGCGCACGCTGGTGCTTCTGGGACCAAGGCCCGCTCGTAAAGTGCTTCGATCTCGCCAAAGCCTCATTCTCGAGGTAACTTTCCTTCTTCCCCTTATTTTTCGTTCGTTTCATCTCGCCCGCTTCGTTTCGCAGAGACGTCAGACCGAAAATCGAGTGCATGCTCGAATACACTGAAGAGGACTGTCTAAAATCGATTAAGGATGGCAACGCGGATCTGACGGTTATGGAGGGAGGCTCGGTGGCTCGAGCGATCAAGGACTTCAACGCGATGCCTATAATCGCGGAATCGTACGGAAAAGGCTCGACCGAATTTGGCGAGAGACCTGCCGTGGCGGTCGTCCGAAAGTCTGCTTCGATCAGCAAACTGGGTAAACGTGGAACCTCGACGCGTTATTCTCTTTCGTTCGCCTAATCGAACGCCTATACTTGACCGTATTGTTCGACTCTTTTAGACGATCTGAGGGGCAAGAAATCGTGTCACAGCGGATACGTTGAAGACTTCGCCGGCTGGAAGGCTCCGGTGCACGCCTTGAAGAACAAAGGTCTGATCGCTTCGGAAGAGGAAGTAGCCAACTTCTTCTCGGGATCGTGTGCCCCGGGCGCCCCTGTCGACTCCACCCTCTGCCAGCAATGCGTTGGAAGCATGGCGGCCAACGATGAACGAATTCGAAGCGAGACCAAGTGCAAGCGTAACGAAGCGGAACTTTTCTATGGTGGCGAAGGAGCCCTCAGGTAAGAATTTCAACCTTTCGCCTTTATAAATATCAAACTTGCCTGTCTACCCCGTCCATTTTGTCGATCGTTCTAGGTGTTTGTTGAGCGGTAAAGGAGACGTAGCGTTCCTACCATTGCCCGCTCTACTCGCCCAGGAAGAAAACAAAACGTTAACCGAGGACTTGAAATTGCTCTGCCCCGACGGCGGTCTCAGCCCCATCAACGAGTGGCAACATTGCAACCTCGGCATGGATCCACCCAGGGTGATCGTCACCTCCGCAGCCAGGACCGTGAACGCCCGGGAAGAACTAACTCACGGTACCTTAGCCGCCATCACGCTTTACTCGAAACGACCGGATCTGTTGCATCTGTTCGGCACTTGGGCCGGTTCGACTGACTTGCTATTCAGGGTAAGCATCCGACAGATCTCGCGAATACGTTCTCTTACGCGTCATAACAACGCTCGTTTTCAGAACGACGCAAAAGGCCTGGTATCGGTGAATCAGTCGTGGAACAAGTGGAACGATTGGCAGGAGACCGAACGAAACTATCGTCCAGCTTAAAATGGTGTGTTGCAAACGGTTTGGAAAATCGACGACGAAAAAGGATGCGACGTCGCAGTTGTAATTATGCAATAAAGTACCAAATAGAGCAAACAATACACGCATTTTTACTTTATTCTCGTTTCTTCCTTACCTCGCTATCGATTCGTGTAGATCGTGAAAGGGGGCCGACGCGACGCCGCAGAATTTCCACGCGTTACGGGTCGAACAACGATTCCGAGAGCGATAGTTTCGCAGCCCGCTCTATTAAACGCTCCGCTATCCGACCGTATCTACTGCTACTGTACTTTTTATATACCACCTCAAAGCCGTTGCGCTTCAATCCAGAATTTAACACGCGTCGCAACATCGTGATCCGGCATTGATCGATTTCCTTGTCCTGAAACCTACGAATCGACCGATAGAATCGTGTAGAACGAAGAAGTGAAGGGGGTAGAGAGACGACTAACCTTTCGGATAAGGAAGGATCGTTGGCGAACAGCTGACCTCTCCAAAATAACCAGCGCGGACGAGCGTTTTCCACAACCGCGTCGAAAGTGAGACCGAGTGCCAGCTCGGCTGCCGTCACGGCGATCAGACTCGCGCTTATTCGACAAAACTGTTCGTCCAGCAACGTTACGTCGATCTGCGAACAAAAATCTCCCTACCGATCCACCGGTACGAACAGACGGAAATACGCGAGGAAAGCGTGTCCCTACCAAATAGCCGCCGCAATGATAAAGAAACAGGGCAATCTCTTCTGGAACGCCGGCGCAACGTTTACTGTTGATCAGGTGATGGTTGAACAGAGAGAACGGGTCCGCGAACGTCACGTTAAAGTTCAAAGACATCAGGATCTCTCTCTCGTAGGCGATCAGCAAATCTTCTCGACTGATGTACAATTCTTTAGCCAGGGCCACCATCGCCGAAGCCTGTAAACGATGAAAGGAGAAAAACGCGAATAGGCAGCGTTTCACAACCGAGTATCTCGCTTACCGTTGGTATTTTGTGATAATTTTCTTGCTTCTTCAACGCGATCCACAAGCTGGCCAATGCCCCTAGTTGTAGGAACTCCGTGTCCAACGGGATTTTATCCAGCACCACGTCGAATAGCTTCACTGCTTGATACACGATGAACGACGGATACCGGCAATGCTTCTGCGAACAAATCGAACCCTATCGATTCCGTTCTCACCCTTTCTTTCCTCTCTGTTCGTCTACTTACCCCAACGTGTATCATAAAGATAACCACCAGCCTCCTTTGTTCCACGTTTACGCGCCTTTGTAAGAAGTTTGCGGACAATCGAATGGATCGCTTCTCTCTCTGATGTTCGACGTTCGGCAGATCCTCGTGATACTCTGTGTGATAGAGCAACTCGACCGGTAGAGAATCTCGTTTTTTGGGACATCTCGGAATTTCAACAGCATCGATATTGTAAGTCTTGTTCGCCGTACGTCCGTCCTCCTGGATTGCTGACTGAAATCCCAGGCATCAATGATTTTTTGATCGTATAAAATATTTAATCAACGCGTTTACCTCGACTGGTATCGATGACACCATCGTGCAGGCCGCTCTGCCTCTCTCTTTCTCCTTGATCAAACGACTGTAGGAACAAAAAGAAAACAAGAAGAAAAAATCGGGAATCGCGATGGTAGGTTGTCGAAAAATTCGGAGCAATTCGTACCTAACTTTTTTCTCAATTTCCGTCGATCGTTTGGAGAGGTTTCGGTCTGTTGAAACGGAACACGACCTACCATCGAGAAAAGAAAAAGAAAAAGAAGAATGGTAGATCGGAATCGGAAGATGGAAGGCTTACCTCGAGCGACGGGGTATCTTGGAGGGCAACGGCTTCTTATCAAAGCGGGATTTCTCGATCGTCCCGCGACCGATGATCGACCGTTCTCTCGTCGCTTCGTTCAAGACATCGTCGATTACTCGCAATCCAGGACCGTTCGTTGACTGGATTCGTAGACGCGATTCTTCTCGAGGCTTGCGTTCGCTCGGGACGTTTCTCTCGTCGCAATGGACTTGAAAGGGTACCTTTTTGACAGCGAGGCTATTGGGGAACGCGTGGTCCACCTGACTGCTAGCCTGATCGACATGCCTTCGGCAAATGGATTCTTTTGTAAACGAAACTTTTTTATTGCTGGCAGCCGCGGAAGGACGCACGTTTTCCTTTCCGCGTGGCAACGGAACCCCCGTCGTCGAGGGCAATTTACCGGTTGCGGGACGCGATTTCGTACGCGACGCGTCCGCCATCGCGGGATCTACGGTCCACGATCTACGATTCAACGATTTCCGATCCTTTAAACGAACGCTACGGAGAAGAGCGAACGACTGCCGCGTGTTTGAGCATTTGTCCGGACGAACGAGCGTGTTTTCGCGCCTTTGTTTACGTTCGCGAAGACGCAACGTTCTGGCGCTCGATCATCCGGCAGAGGCGCGGCTAATTAGCCGCCTGTTGCCGCGCCGCGACCACCCGAATTCTCCCGCGATCGCGACGAACCATTCGTTCCACCAGCAGCGCCATACCCGCGACCAGAAACGACAGCAGCATGAACACGAGCAGCGGCGTCGCCTCCTGCAGTTCCACCGACGTCCAGCCCGTTTTCGCCTGAAACACGATGAGAACGAGCGTTTCAGATTCCGATGAAAATCTCGTCGCGACGATCGGTTACCGTGTACTCGTTCGTCGACCATTCCGTCTTGAGCAGCCGCTGAAGAATTCCGCTGTCTCGCAGCAGAAGAATGCTAAAAGAGAAATCGTAGAATAGAAGCGGCGCGATAGTGCGCGATGAGCAGCCGACACTCACTTGGTGTCGATGATTCCACGGTAGGGACTCTGCGACGGAACCGCCATGGCTATCGTGGTCTGCATCATCACGTCCAGAGGTTCCAAAGCGCAGTCGACCTTTCCTCGTAGAACCGCTGCCATATTGTCCAGTGTCATAAACGCGTACTTGCTTTCCTTACAAACGCGTTTCAAACCGTCCAGATAATTATCCGGAAGATCGGTTTCCCTAGTCAACAACTCCTCAAACATGACGCTGAGAGTGCGATCGGTGGTGTTCTGTCGCGCGTGAAAAAATTCGTGCAATCGGTTGGATCAGTTCGAATCGGGGTCGGATCGAATCGAGTTTACCTGGAAGAAGCTATAGTCGGCCGAATCGGCGACCACCGCGAATCGATATGTACCGTCCACCAAGAGACCCTCCATCGTGGTGAACGGCATCACGAACGTCTTGATCGCGAGATAACTGATCAGCGCCGCCGAGTAAGCGGCGATCACTACCACCGCTGTCAGATGAATGCTCAGATGCACCAGCCTGATCGGATCCAACGAAGACGGTTCCATACCTACGGACCGAAGCGACGCGTCACGTTGCTTTTCACCTCGTTGCCTTCGATCTCACCTTGCCCGCAAAACACGCCAAACACCAGGAACAAGATCTCGGACAGTCGGAACGGAGAGGGTGGAAATTCGCTGGTCCTCGAGGTGAATCCCTCGATCCCGGCGATCGCGAGAGTGGCGAGCACGATCGTTATCGCGATCGCGTTCCAAATGTTGGACGCGAATGGCGCAAAATACGTGTTCCACTTGACCGCCATCGAATCTGGTCTCTTGATGTACACGCGACACCTGCAAGGAAAACGGACCTGAAGAAGGAATTTCCACTCGTCGTTGGTAACTCACTTGGTCGAATAAACGGGCGTGGTGAATTTCACAGCGTCCAGCCTGTCCGACGTCATCATCAGTTCGGTGGCCACTAAATCCGCCTCGTCCTCTAACAACATCCTGATCGAGCCCGTCCAGGTGCCATTCGGCAGCCGCACGCCCCAAGAACCCTCCACGTAACTGAATCTGAAAGAACCGGTTCATTTGAACGGCGCGACGATCGTCGCGAATTCGTCCCGCGAAATTGCCCGCGATTCGATTCGCCTGGCTCGATGTTCGATTAGATCGATCGTCCGTAATCACCGATCAAGGAACTTAACCCTTCTTGCCAGAGGGAACCGAAGAGCATGCTACGCGGACTCGCCTCGCGATGCCTGGAACCAGTTAGCCCGAAAGGACACTCGTCGTACGTAGAAAATCGCTTTTTCTCATCTCTGTTCTTCGGATTTCTGCGATCGCTCTTTTGCAGCCGCGAACGCGTAAAAATACTGGCGAACACCGTGACTCGTCGAACCTACGAGAGACGTCGAAGAAGCGGCGACGGTCGAAAGCGCGACGCGTTCGAGGAACGATCGGCCGCCAATCAAGAGGAATACTTTCGAAGAGAAACGGCCAGGCAACTAAAAGAACTGCGAGAGCGTCTGCAGAAAAGGAAAGCCGAGAACGACGCGGAACGCGAAGGCGTGAAGAGAAGAAGGTCCAACGGACAAGCTCCGGACAAGAGCTCGGTCGACGATTCCGACCACAATCGCGAAAAGTAAGAATCTCCATCTCCCTTTACCGATACTCACGTGCAATTCATTCCTTCCTGCAACAGCTGAAGCACCTCCCCGAAAAAACCTCGGACACCGATCGTCTGGTTGGTCGTCTCGTTCCGGACGATTCGCGAGATAGGAGGATCCTGCGGGAACGAAACGAATATTAACACTAAACAAGGAAGGAAGTTCGGAAACAATAGCTAAATACTAACGTGAATGACCACCACCCTTATGTTGCGTCCATGTAAATCGTTGCGTCGCTGATATAATCCGAGAAGAGGGCCTCGAAATCCATGAGTAACGTTCCACGTGCCAAACGTCATCCATCTCAACCGGTCTTCTTTGCCGATGCGATACACGTCTCGAATGATCTCACCAGCTCCTTCGGTGTTCCTCTGGGCGACCATCAGCACACAGTCGAACGGCACGTAAACGTTCGTCAAAACCTCCTCGAAATTGCTCTCGTCCCTGAGAAAGAGCAACCACGTCGGATAGGCCATTCCGATCCACTTGGAAACCTGTTTCATTTCGAACGGTCAGCGATGCTCGCTTTACTCTTTCCAAAACTCGGATCCTCTCGAGTATTTACCGAAGCGAACTGCTGTTTCGTTTCCTCCAGATCGTTCAGCAACACGAACAACGGCCTCTTGATCTGACGATAAGTTTTCCCCACCTGAAACGAGATAGGCGAACGATCGAGACAGAAAACCTGTGTACGAAGGATCTACACTCGAACCTACTCGATTCTTGAACATCTGAAAATCCATGATGGCTGTACGTATGTTCAAAGAGCCGCTGAAATACCTCTGAAGCGCCAGCAATCCGTCCAATTGTTCCATTCCTGAAACGATCGAATCGGGAAAGAACGCGTTCGAGCCTTTCCTCGAGAGGATTCTCACCTTCCTCTTCTATCGGTCTCGAGGAACCGCGTAGGAGTATCACGCAAGTGTTGTTAAAGTAATCGTGGACCCCTTTGATCAGACTCTGATAAACGGCGATCGGTCGTATGAGGACGGAATCGGGCGAAGCGTTCGGTTCGACGGCAAAACTCGATAACAAGAACGGCAGCAACTCGAGCGACAGGGTCGCCAGAAATCGCTGCCGTCCGAACATGATGTTTCGCTTCGACTAACTAGCTACCGCTACCAATCTTTCACCGTTATCGAATTTTCCTCGTTAATAAAGTCTCGTTTCAAAGTGACGAGTCTGATAAAACGGGGACACGGATAATCTTTGTTACACCGACGCGATAGTTGCCTAGTCCGAGTGGAACGGTCTAATGCACAACAAACGCTAAAAGAACAAATCGATTGAAACGTGGATACGCGCGATGCGACCCTTTTTTTCCAGTCGTCGAAATCTTGGCAAACAATCATTTGCCCTTTCCCTTTGATCCCGGCGCTTGTCCCGTGCTTAAAGTTCGCGCGTGACTCGATACGGCGTTTACCGAACTCTGCAAATATCAATTTTTCTCTCTTTCGTCGCGTGCTCTTGCTAAAACCAGAAGTAAATTTCAACCCGATTCCCTGTACGATCGATTCCCCATCGTCGTCGTCTGTTTTTCAAATACTCCTACGCGAATAATTCACGTGCCGTGCATTACGACACGCTCGTTCGAACCATCCTTTTTTCTACTTTTACTCGTTTCCCCTGGAATTAAGTACCTACTAGTTCGAAATAATAGCGATGGAAAATCGATTCGTTTATCAGGTATTTCGTTTTTCCATTTCGTGTTTTTCGTTAGCGCGGTCAGAGGCGGAACGTTCGCGATAAGAACGCGATAATCGTGCCGGACGAAAGGAGAAATTTGCGATTCGTGGACGGAAACGGGGCAATGTCGCGAATTTGCACCGATAACCGTAACACAAAGAGGTGGAGGATCGGTAGAAGGCTCGCGATTTCCATCGGTCACTCGTGCCGGCCAAGTGTCTACGAAAAGTTTTCGCAACGGTCAACTCGTTCTCCACGATGCGAACTTTTGGGATCCTGCTGCTGCTGCTCCTCCTCTGTATCGACCTTTGCCCTGCCTACCCGAACGAACAAGGTACGTTTCGCGTTTCCACGAACTGCAGACAAATCGAGATACGCGTAAATTCGTTCGTTTTCAGATAATGACCTCCGACAAATCGGTAGCAAGGAAGGAAACAACGGTGCTCCCTACGCTGTGACGTTACTGCGCCCACCACGCAGCATCGGGAGCTTCGTTACCTCCGGTATCCAAGAGCTAATATCGACCATCGTCAGGATACCCATAATGATAGCAGAGCTGATCGCACACGCAATTCGCGATTTCATATTTGCGATCATGGATGCGTTGCAACTGTTCCTTTATCCCTTTCGAAGGATTATGAACGGGATTGTTCGCACGAAACGCGAGGGTACCCCTGGCCTGGTGGAAAGCATTTTGTTGGACCTGCCTCGAATGATTTTTCACCCCTTTGAATTTGTGGATGATTCGGTCAAGGCGACGAGCAACTTCGCCCGCAACCAAACTGCGATGGTTCTGCAAAACGCGCTAAGAATTTGCTGGCGTTTCCTCGCCACCACCGGACTTCCGTGGTTACGCCGTATTCTCGATCGAGTGGCAAGCATGCAAACCACGCCAGACAACGTTCGCACGCTTGTCAAAAATTTCGACACCATGTACAACATCTTTCAGATGTTGGGTTACATTAGCCCGGCCTATTAATCGCTCGTTCGCCGTCTCGAGCGACGACCAGACGCGTTTCGAATGTAATCGAGGCTGTCTAAATTAGAAAGAAGGTAAAATAAACCACCCTAGAGCATCGATGCGGATTCTTTCAATTTTTTTTTTCCAATTATTAACTCGTTATCTATCGACGAATCGTCCGTGCTGTTTCCCACGGTTTCGCAAAGGAAAAGCAAAGAAGAATAAACATGGAGATAGAAGAAAGAGAAATCGTCAGGATTTACCGCGATGCGGGTGAAAATTATCAGGGGACGAATTGCACGGGCCGTTTGCGAAAACGATGTAGGACGTTTCGCGATTTCTTTTGTTCGTCGTTCAACGAATTTCTCGGCCTGTTCTGCTTGTACACGCCTCCAACCGTGCGTAAAACGGTGCTTACGTAAGTCGAAGGACAGCACTAATCGAGGAACGAGGAGAATATCGCGTCATCGCGCTTGTCTATTCGCATCGTTATCGTGTTCGTAATTGTTACCCCTGCTAACTGTTTATCCGTCGAATCGAACGGACGCGAGGCGATCGAAGACTGAGCAGCTACGACGATAACGTCGTGCGGCCGCTGCGGCCGGAAATATTCGCCGAAGCGGGACGAACGCGTCGATGCATCGCGACGTCGCGCGTCACGCTTACCGCGTCTCGTGTTAACCATTATAATTTATCAACTCCGGCCGCGCCCGTCGTAAACGTTTTCATGATCCGACCACGCTTTACAGTTTTATCATTCGCTTTTGCCTTCGACGAGAATTGACGAAATCCATGCGGCATCCATCGAGCCCGGTACCAGTTGCACCATCGCGCGATTATTCCCGAGCCATCGCGCGTCCGCGTAAGCGATCGTTGCTATCCGTTTTTTTTTTTCAGGTGCATACAGGTGTACGAGCATACTTTTGTTCGCGTTTCCCGACGCGTCAGTTGCTCGCGAATTCGCAACTCGCGCGCACGTTTTTTTTTCGCGTCGCTCTCTGCGTTGTCCGCCGTGCTTACAAACGACCCTTGACCGTTTTCTTATTCCATTCCTCGCGATATCGTCCACCGATTCTACATTTTCCTCCTTCTCGACAACGATTGTAATCACGATCACGTTTCAAGAATCGTTCGGCCTTGACGATTTTCCGCGACGACGCGCGTCGTTTTTGTAAACGAAAAGCTAATCGACCGAAGAAACTAGCTATCGCATTTTCCTCCAAGTTGTTATCTCTATTTTTCTATCAGCTTTCCTCTCGCGACAGGCGCATCGATTTAACTATCTAACAAGCGTTTCTGTCGAATCAACGACGTAACGAGGCGCGAAACGCGGTTACGTAAGCTCGAGCCGGTGTTCGACCAGCCGGGAACTAGGACGCGCGAGCGAACGATCGCAAATATCCTTGGCACCGTGCTCGATACTCGAGGCTCGGACGGGTACGCGGCCGGAAACGAGCGTCGAACGCGACGATGCTCGCTCTTCTCCTCGTAACGATCGCGGTTTGCGGATTCGTGACGAAAATCGGTAAGCGTCGAGGCTCGATTGATCGTTGGAAACACCGATCGCTAACCGTTGATCGATCGTTGCGTTGCAGAAACGCGGGGAAATTGTTCCGACACCGGCTGGGAGAAAATCGGCAGCGTCAAACCGGAGTCCATAAGCTCACAAACGATTCTGTACAGCGCCGTAAACTCAAAGGGAATAACGAAACCCTGTTTCGAGAGGTAGGCGAAAAGCCAGAACATTGTTCAGTAAACGGAAGGGAAAAGAAAATCGGCAAAATTTCGTTCGGTTTCAGGTGCGACCGCGTAAACTGCACCGCGTTCGTCGTAGATTTCGGCCGAAGCGTTTGTTACAGCGTTCGAACGGAGGACGACGAGCTGATACCGGAAGCGAATTCGACCTTCTACCAGCGAGTCTGCGTGAAAGGTGAGAATACGCTCCCACCGCTTCCAAAAGCCATTCATCGAAACGGATTTGCTCTCGGCTAGTTCCACAGAGTTGCAAACGAGACAGATTTTGGCAAGTCGAGAGAAGCCCGGGAGCGGTGTTGATCGACTCCGGAGCCTTTCACTTGCCTCAACCCATCACCAGAAACCAGTGTTACGAAAAATGCGTGGAGACAGGTAAGCGCGCGATCTTTAAGATCCTAAAACCATTTCAGCCTCGAATCGTTCGCAGGAAGAAGCTGTCAATCGGCGCAATTCCGAACGACCAAGCCGCTCTCGTCCGATAACGCGATCGGCCAATGTTCCCTATCGTTGCTCGAACGGGGGATCAAACCTCGTGCTTACAGAGCCTCCATGTACAGAGACGAATATCTTTGGGATCAATGCCGTAACCTCTGTGAGTAACCCGGAAAAAGCTCGATCGCTTTGCAAAAGAATCGCCAGCGTTTCGTGTTACAGCGAGACAAGAATATTGCTCCTACGCGGAATTTCCAAACGCCTCCTTACCCTACTCGGACCTCGCGCTGCTCGATCTTAACGAGAATCAGGTAAAGGGTTGCGATTCCATTTTCTTTCGATACCGATCGACGATCGATGGATTCCGATGCAGTGCCGACAGAGGTGCGACCGGAGCGTGGACGGTTTCATCTGCCGCGGATACACGATGGACAACTCGTCCGGGGAACCGGTATGCCTGTTGCACTCGGAGGACACGAACGGTCTCGGAGTTAGCTCGCTGATCGTCGCGTCGAACGTGATCTACAGGGAACGGGAACCGTGTCTGGACCGTAAGTATCGCGATCGAGATCGCCGCGCGAAACCACGGGAAACCGTTTAATCTTTCAGTGAGGGTACGATGCGACCAGTTGACGATCACGATCGAGCTGAGAACCAACGACCGATTTTTCGGTCGGATCTACCCGATTGGTCACGCGGACGACTGTGGTGTTCAAGGCGGAGGCGGTAATCGCACGTTGTTGGTCTTGCCGATACCGTCCGTCGATCGACTACGCGACGGTAACGGAATTCAATGCGGTCTGAACTTAGCCTTCTCCGTCGACGATCGAAATCGGTAAGAGACATCGTTGACAAACGACAAAGAATCGAGTAAAAATAAAGGGAATTGGAACGCAGGACACGACCCCTGGTCTGGACAACGATCGTGGTGCAGTTCAACCCGATCGTTCAACGTTTGGGGGATCAAGCGGTCAAGGTTGGATGCTCGTTGAACGATCAAGAACCCCCGATTCCGCGCAACGTTACCGTCCACTCGAGCTTCAGCTTTCTCGACCCGAAGTGAGCATCCATTCTCAGCTTTTAGATTTAGCCGCGTATCGTTCGCTCGAATTCCGTGTGTTTAGCGCAGGAGTACCACCCATATCCTCGACCGTCGTGAACGCCTCGTCCCAAGCGCCGATGGTCACCATGAGGATTCTGGACGAAAACTCGAGGGACGCGGTCGTCACGCACTTGGGACAGAAATTGACGCTGAGAATTCAACTTGATCCACCGAACGGTATACCTTTTCGCCCACGAATATCGCAATCCTAAATTTCGAATAACTCTGACTCCCTTTCTCACGGTAAAGACGCCTACGACATCACCGCCGGTCACCTTGTAGCGAGCAGCGCTTCCGGCGACGCTTCCTACTTGCTGTTGAACGAACTCGGTTGCCCCACCGACCCTACCACCTTCCCAGCCTTGACGAAAGATCCGCTCGACGGCCGCTCCTTGATCTCGACCTTCGCCGCCTTCAAGTTCCCCGATAGTCAACTAGTTCGATTCAACGTGATCGTTCGATTCTGTTTGGAAAAATGTACGCCGGTGAGTCGATTCCCTCCTCTCTCCGACGAACTCGCTGATCGATTATTTCACGCGTTACAGACCATCTGCAAAGGCGATCAAATTTCCTACGGTAGAAGAAAACGAGCCGACGAACCGCGAGAGGAAACTCTCGAAGAACTGCCGCTGCAGCTCTCTATAATCGTGCAAAATCCTGTCGCGTCTTCGCCGGATCGTTTGTCTTCGACGAGACCCAGCGCATCCCCTGATACCGTGCTGATCACCGGTGAAAGTAAGTGTTACTCTCGTTCGAAGTTAACCTTTTGCACCATCTAATACCCTTCTGTATTCTCAGACTCGGTGGATGGACTCTTTTGCGTGGACCCTAGCCTCGCTCTGAGCCTGTTGATATTCTGGCTGATCATACAGATCGCGTTAATAGTCGGCTGTCTGTTGACGGTCGCTCAATACAGACGGACGGCCATACGAGCGGAAGAGGAGAGAGCCAACGTGCTGGCCAGACACTTGTACGGCATCCACGGAGGAAACTTTGAAATCACGCGGAGAGTCAGATGGGCCGACCACCGTGCTTCCTCCTCGTCTTTCGATTAAATCGTTGCCCCATTTTTTGCTATTATCCGGAAAGTCAGAGTAACGATACTATCGGCTTGTGAAAATGATTAAAAACAATAATAATTTTATTTTTAATTACACGCTAATGCAGTCTTTTTGCTCGAAACTACGCAGTCGAGCCAACGCGAACAAACGCGTCCCTCTCCTTCCCATCTTATCCTCCTCTGATCTTCGTAGTCGCGCATTTCCCGTAATATTTTAGCGTAATATCTGCAACGGAGAATATGTTTCGCAAATTAATTCTTGAAATAGAACAAGGAAATGGTGGGAGAAAAAAAATACAACGATGTTTCTGCGTCTCACCTTTACCACACGTCGCTGCGCAACTTAATCGTCCTGGATTATCATAGTCGACGTTGTCCGATCCGCAAACGGGATTATACTCCGGTGTCGCCTGAAAACACACGATCATTTCATTTTATCGACATGTTTACACGCGATGCATGCATTATAATTTTTCGAGTCGCGCGAACTTTGATCTCGTTCGATAACTCGTGCCTCCAGGCTACTAAACGTCTCGTCGGTCTTTCCTATTTACACAATTACTTTTCAAGGAAACAAATGCGATTTCCGCCAACTCACCGGACACCTCGCAACGCAAGCATCGAATAGAGCATCCACCAAAGGAGAAGCAGTCACCGTCGTCGTCGGTGTCCTCGGAGTCGTGGTCGTCGGTGTTGGGGTGCTGCTTCTCAAACTGGAAGTCGTTACTCCATTTGAAGACGGTCTGTCCGCCGGTCCGTCGAAAACGAATCCGTCCACCTCGAAAAAATTATCTCTCGATAAAGAAGCGTCATCGTCAAAAGGGAACTGATGAAAGGTTGTTCGTTAATTGGAGTCGTAATACGTTTGTTACGCGGTGTATATCATAAATTGGCATACCTGTGCATGTGTGATCATCCTCCCACTCAATGCAGTAACTGCAATGACCAAATTACACTTTAGATATTTTTCATTCTATCGTCTCTTTGCGACTGCAGTACTTACCAAAAATCACGTAAAACAACCACATTTTATCCGTAAATCGTCTTCCTTTGTCTCTCTATGCCTTCCTCTTCCGCGTCAAGATCGAACATTTACTGGTCGCGTTGGATCTTCCGCGTTTACTTTTATAGGCTCCGAGAAACTGACCGTGCAACACTCTTTGTATGGTCAACCAGTCACGTGGCAATCGGTGAATCGATGAATCGGTGAACAACCTTAAAAATCCCCGTGCAAAAGAACGCGAACAGACCGGATTTTCCCGTGCACTCGCCACTGCCCGTCTCTCCAAACAAAACGAATAAATATTATCTCTCGATCGTTTTCAAATTTTCTATCCTCCTACGAATTCCTCGGAATCTTTTTTCTTTCTTCTTCTGAAACAAATGAATAAATAATGTAAATCCAGTTTTTTGCCCTTTTCTGCGAAATTAAAAAACAATTCGTATGCGCGTGTATCTGGTTTTACTTACGTCCAGCTTGGAAATCCCGATTTCCTTGAGATAGAAGAATCAAGGTTGACGCAACCACTCATCTTGTTATAATTAACGTGTCATTTTTGCCGATTTCGTTGAATGAAAATTTCAGATAAAAAGTGCAATCTCTCTTATTTTTTTTTTTAACGCACCTTTATTTCTACGTTCATTCTAATACATACGTCTTCGTCTACGTAATTCTTGCATGATTTACAGCACGGGGTAAAAGTAAACGATATATTACAACTTCATTTGACGCAATCTTCCTACACTCTTTGTATCTACATTTATACAAATTGCTATATCGTACGTGTAACCGTGGAAACTGGAAAAATTTCCGCTACGTACGCGAAATACGAGACCTTTTGTGCAAACAACAAGCACAGATATACGTGCAACCCCAATTAGCCACAATGAGATACCAAAAGTATCGAATATCGTCGGTACGAAATCTTTCGTGCGAAACAACAATTGTGTGTATATTGTGTAATGCGTTGTATAATGCACCTATCGATCGAACATGCTTGTCCTTTATCTTATATACTTTGTCTCGTTGAACGAGAACACTTTTACGATCATTTTTACAAAATATATCAATTCCAACTTATGGATAACATTTCACGCGACGACTATTCTTCAAGACAATATATATATATCAATATTTCATTCATTTTTGGTCACATTTATGCAAGTAAGCGTAAACAAGGAATAAGGTGAATTTGAAATAATACCGTCGGATACAACGAAACATAGCTTCAAATTCGTTAATGTGCTATAGTGTTGCGTGTGTACGATTTAATAAATTATTAAAGAAGTCTTAAGTCTTGATTAAAAATAGATTGGCAGTTGAAAGGAATGACGAGGGTACAATCATACAGAATTTCTTACGGTTTTCACGTGACCGACGATAGAAGACCAACTAATTCATATTCTCAAATAAATCTTGACGACATTGAATATTATGAAAATTTTCACCGTATCGATTTCACTCGATCGATCTTGCCTCTATAAACAATTCTCTTCCGATTTACATTTTTCAATTTATCAAAATATTTTTTACAATTTTTTCACGAAAACGACGTTGTTGGTTAAAACATTTATACCACATAAATTGTTCCAGCTTTTTCCTTTGCTAAATCTTTCGCTTTCTTTGCAGCATCCTTTACTTTCTCCGCTTTACCTTGCAAAGAAGTTTGAAAACCTTCCGCGAGACTAGACTTTGCTCCAGCTGCTTCGTCAAGCTGAAACGATAAGCAATAAATGAGCTATTAAATCCACGTACGTGGAAAGTATTCAGGCGTATGGATTATATGTTGCATTATCCTCCTTACACGATGAGCGATTCCCATTTGAGGATTCATATGTTGCGCCGTGTGTGGAAACATATGCGCTAAAACGTAATTGAAACCAGTATACATCTGTTTACAATTCTTTTTAAATTTATCCAGCCCAAACGCTTGAATAGCCCTACTAAATCCAAAAGCTCGACTGTCTATCCATGCGGACCTTTTTGCTATGGTCCAATTTGGATTCTCATCGCAAACTTTATAAACAACCTTCTCGACGATACTCTGCAAAATAAGGAAACTTCAAAAAAATCAAACTTCAATTTCCGACGCGTTCACGATACCGTATTTCTTACTAATATATTTCACATATTGATTTGATTACCATAACTGTAGTATAGCCCAAATTTCGCGTATATGTTGTCAAAGTTTTTGCCTTCAAATCTACCGTACTCTCTTCAACAATCTTGACAACATTGGTTTTAATAAACCTTTCTCCCCACTTGGGCACACGTTTATTAGTTTTTGTCAGGAGCCTTGTACTATGTAAAATTCCATTTCTAACTCTTCTTGATATAGTGTCTTCTGTCAGTACATGAGCGCTGAAAGAGAAATTTCAATCTTATGTGGTAAAAGTTTACATGGTAGATAATACATAACGCTTCTGACATACCTGTTAGGATTTGGATATCTTTGCCAAAATGCTTGTGCAACTTGATTCCAATTAAATTGGAAAATTATACTATCCTCATAGTGTTTAACCATCCTTTCAACCAATATAATTTCTTCTACTAAATAAGGTGGGAACTTTCTTTGCAGAATATGAAGCTGATTGTACGTAGGAAACTGTCTGATATAACCTGTGTTTTTTTATCTGTAAACAAAAGCAAAAGATAATGATTCTTTATAGATGAATATAGTAAAATGCGTTTGTATAAAAATATATTCATTATCTCTATACATATAGGTATAACAGCATTATAAACATGGTTTTATTTCTATCCTATTCATATAGTAGATACAAAAACTTACATGTATACAAAAAAGTAATATACCTTTAACACCAAAAGATTTGGTTGATCTTAATGGCTCATCGTGATAAATAATTCTGATTAAATAAATGTACTTTCAGAGAATTTGACGAATTGCATAACCCTTCCCCGTGTTCGATAATTATTAACTGATTTCTACGTATAATTATTAAATATCAAGTCTCGAGTAAAATCAATTAACGCTAATAATAATCCAAGAACATCACAAAATTAGTAGTAGACAATAAACGGAAAAATTTTATCAGATAATCCATTTACCGCTTAATCACGAGAGTTAAAAGTAAATAGAACCAATGCTTTCGGATACAATACCTAAATTTTGAGGCTTGTTGTAAACACGTGGAGGTAAATATCAGCCAAAATATTGTTAATTCATCTGTAGTAAAAGTAACATTATTCACAGTATGCTTTATTACATACTATGCGTACAAAAGTGATGATATAACCTTTTGAAAACTATTCCTTCTCGAATCACTCTGAAAATTAATGGTACCGCGCAACGGATAACACAAATCATTCATAGACGACTTATTCGACTGTTGATATAATCAAACAATTTGCTATCAGTTATCATATTTTATACATGTTCACATGGCTAAATATAAGACACATGTATTATACTGTCAGGACTCCTCATTTACAAAACTCAGCGAGTATAAAGTCACTGTAGAACTCTGATACTTTACAAGTGTTGCCCGTGTGGTGCAGCACCAGTTTATCGGAGCAAGTAAAACACTGGATGAGCACCCTCTGAGTCGAGGCCGAACTCCGAATTCCGCATCGGTAAAACAGCCCATGGAACAGAAACTGATTCAAGAGCCACCTCAGTTATTGCATCCAACTAACTGCATCCTACATGACGCGTGTATGCTACGATAGCTATATGTATAAGTACATAATTAAACAATACTGACTATGAATTCACTATTCATTTTCTTTCCGTAAAATTGTATCTACAATGTGATACACTTCAGAATATCAAAGGCATAGTTCCTGAAAAAAATATAACAGCGATTAAATAGAAAAAAAAAGCATTTTCGTAGCCAATTCGCTCGTATTATTTGCTGCATAATTAATAAATGTACCATAGAAATAATGATACGGTTATTAATTAGTCATCAAATAATAGCAATTGCCTAGGTTGCTGAGGATGGAGACCCACCCGACCTCATCCCATCCACCCTCCATTTATGCAAATTTTTATTTTTATTCAGTAACATCATCCTCTTGATGCACATTTGCCAAACGTTTTTGACTGTTGTACAAACGAACAACAAAAGGAGCATTATTATTATTCGCTACCATAAATATGCAATTGCATATTTGTCCTACATACTTATATTATTAAAAATGCCTGCTTATACGAACGGTCGTATTTATATTAAAAATTCGCTTAAATCTAACCCTTCCTAATTAAACACTGCAGTGTTTGACGATTATATCTTGTGTTTATATAAAAACTTAAAGGGATATACATAAATAAATAAATACAATGAATTTGTTAATTTTTTTGTCTCCACCAGAATACTTCCTGAAACAAACTAAAAAGGATTAATTACCAAAATACGTCCTGAGATATTTCTCTGCAACAGAAACTTATTAATTGAATCCATATCAAGACAAAAAAAGTTTAATAGCTGGAAAGATGATGCATTAGTACAAACAAAATTTTGCAGAAATCAGAGTCATTGTTAATGACTAATTTCCAATGAAAAGAAGGAATATCAATAGAATTTCAGTAGCAAAATAAAGAAAAAAGAATATATCGTTACTCAATAAGTGATTTGATTTAAAAGGATTAATTATTTTTCATTTTATAGTATCTAATATTGGTTCATTTGTTGACAAACAGTACACGATATTTTAATTGAAACAACTATCTTTTACCTCAATATACGTTCAACCATGACTCTACCTGACTTTATTGCATTATATTATTTAATACACCTTTCAATGCAAATTTATTGTAAATGAAAAAACTGAAATGAAAATCGCGAGTGGATTTTGCTTTTCAGGAAAAGAATTTGAAAATTTATAAAAGTAATTTAATTAGCTTCTCCGTAAGCTTGATTAAAAATTAAAACTGAACAACTCAAAGAACAATTATCCACTACTTTTGTTTGAATAAAGTAGAATTAAAATTTAATAAGTTATCTCGAATGAACAAATATTCCTTGAAATAATTTATAACCAATCATCACAAAATAAAATGAACTTCCATTTTAAATTAAACTTTGAGTACACGGGAACCTGAAAAGAATAGTTTGACTCGCCATAAGAGCAATCCCTAAGCAAACCCTATAAAACAAACCGAAATTACACGCAACATTAATTTTAAAATTGCAAAGAAGTAAAAAATTTAATAACAATCGCGAATTCATTCGCAACACTAATTTCATTAATTATATAATATATACAAAAGCGTACGCGTGAAGGCTGCTCCATTATGCGCAACACTAAGCTGAAAAAAAGAAAAAAAGAGAAAACGCGAACTGTAACGCAACACTACTCAAATCTACCGAATTTTGTGAGACGCAACACTAATCTAAAAAAAGCCAATCCAAGGCTGTACCACGGCAGCTGGTCCATAGCTGCCTTATGGACCATGGCAGGTCCACTGGATCCGTTTTGGGCATTTTATCATATATCGCAACTCTAATGCAAAACGCGAATATTCACTACCGCAACACTAATTAGCAGGGAACTCTATAAACTAATGCAAAGCAATCGCGTATTTATAAGTCGCAACACTGGGAAACAATCGCGTTAATGTCATTCGCAACGCTATCTTTAACAGACATGCAATTAAAATGCACAAAAAGGGGATTCTCAAACCGTGAATATTTTATTCGCAACAATAAATCAATCAATAATAAAAAACAAAACTCTAAAAAATCTGAAACCAATAAACATTACAAAGCAAAACTCTCAAAAATCTTAAAGCAATCAACATTGAAAAGTTAAATTCTATTTTGAAGCAATGCAAAAAGGAAACGCGATATTTTAACTTTGCAACACTAAATAAAAATCGCGATAATCATGCATACGCAACACTAAATTGAACCGTGATCGACATTCATTCGCAATACTAAATTGAACCGTGGTCAATATTCGCAACACTAACTTGAAAACGCGATTTGCCCCAAATCATGGGGGTCACGGGCCCCCTCTTGTCCTGAAATTACAAAACTACAACTACAGGCAAGCACAGTGACAAAGTAGTAACGATAATGATTTCCCATCCTTTTTTGCAAAAGGATGCAAAATCATTAGTAGTTCCCCTCTTGAAAGACAGTTTGTCGGGGCGCTTCGGCATGTAGCCTTTTCTTTCTTCGGGCGGTCCACCCACCTGAAACTTATATCTAAAGCTCGAGACTTGCAAATTCGCAAAACAAAAAAAAAAACAATCAACAAAAAAGAAAAATCGCGAAACTCTAATTGACACGTGGACGAAAAAGGACTTTATACAAGTCGTTGTTCGTACACACATGCCGTGCTCGAGCAGAACTTGTGCGTTTCGTACCATCGCGATCGCGTATGACGACTTATGAAGTCGCCAAAAATTTGAAAAATTGTACAGATAGAATCGAAGGCGAACGTCATACTCCGTTCGTATCGATTGGATCGTCAATTCTTCAAATATATTCCAGGTACAGGTTGATCACGCGAAATCGCGCCTACCCGACCAAGAGACTGTGACAACCTGTCCCGGCCCTACCTACTTACAATCTATCACACACACCAGAAGGTATACTACCTACCTACCTAACGCTATATTTAAAAAAGGCAAAATCACATTCTCCCAAAAATTCATTCCACGACCCCCATACACTCCACCCGGGCGCAAGAGCCTAAACTAGGGAGAACGTCCCGGGACGCCTCCGTCACCCGAGTTTCATCTCACATCTCACTCTACGGTACGTACCATTTTTCACTGAAATCGTCTGGCAAGGCTAGCAATCATTGCGTATAATGATAATTACAAAATTTAATTAACTACTTTGATATAGAATATTTCATAGTAATGGTAATAATATTATTTGGTTTGTACGTTCATTGTTAGTCTTATTGAATAAAATATTATTTCAAATTAAAAATTAAATGAAAAAGTTATTAAACCGACGCAATCCCACAGCCTAAAGACACACACACCATATGTGGAAATTACGTCGTGCACGATATACTAACACAATGCCAGCCGCTTATTAATTATTAATCTTATGAACTAGGTCATCGTGCCCATTGCCTCTACCCATCCAAGTAGCACCTGGGCACGTGAATGGGCTTTGGCAATAAACACGGAAGGGGTTAAATCTGAAAATCCTGATCTAAAAACATGATTAGTACATAAACATCTAACGGGCTAATATTTCACTATTTTAATAAAAGTGACTCGACTTTGTAAATATAAAGCTTTAAGAACAAATACTGAAAAGCAAAATAGAGCAACTATGACGCAAACATAGTGCACTGCTAATATCAGCTGGCAACGAAGGGTCTCACGCCCCCTAGACTTACGCCAGACGCTACATACCACCCACCCCGCCTGGACGTCGTAACGCCAGGACAGAGTGCACCCCTTCGCTAAGAGCGCTACCCGCCCGTCCAACACGTTGCATCCAACGGTGTCAGATTTGCGGACGCCCATAGTATAGACAAAAGGACTACAGTTTAGAATATGGTAACATATTTTCATATGTTCCGTATTCTAAAGCTGCGCCTGCAAAGGCCTAGTAATGCATGGGTATATCTCCCAGAGATGGTGTTCACGGTCTTATGCCGCGGAATCCTTGTAACTAATTTGATTAATTAAATAATAAAAAGGATTGAGTTTAAAAACCAAAAGGATTCCCACCGAATACTAGTCAGTGCATCGTCATATTTACTCTCGCGTCGGAAATTTCTCGCAACACTAATTTAATAAATACAAAACTCTAATGAAAAGGAATTTAATGTGAAAATTGAATTTGATATTTTATTAAAAGCAAAATGACTCTAATTAAGAATTTTTTGCAATGGAAAAAGAATTTATTGTGAAAATTAGGTAATAAAAAATTAAAACATCCTCGGGCGACTCCCTCCTCAGAGTAAATTTTCAAGAATATGCAAAATGTGTTGAAATAGATCACTCTGATTTGGAAATCTACCCGTCACGAATTGTCTTCTTGCACATAAATTGTTAAATTTTACATGAAAGTATAACTAAGTTAAACTTCGCTATAGAATGATTTGAACTTTAATATTCGTAAAAAAATTCTCAAATTCTATTTGAATTTACAATGTACAAAATGTAATGAAATCAATGTAAAATCATAATTAGTATGTACATCAAACATACATATTATATTACCAATATCATATCAATTTGAATCTTTACTAAATCAGATGGTATCTGACTTCTTCGTTAAAGAAAAACTAAATAAAATTGTTTCTGTGTTACAATATTTCATATTCCACGTTTTATTATAAAATCGTATTATGAACATTTTAAAGCATTCATATATTTCATAAATATCTATTGGAATATGTGGAATTGAAATGATATTAAAACGCGGAGTACAAGAAAACCTAGCCTGAACTAGATGAAATGAAACAATAAAAATGTTACTACTCATGGGTATAATCATACCCATGGTCACTATGCTTGCTAACTACGTATACAACCAGTAACCCGTGTCGATTCGGACCATTCGTCCTACGACATGATTGGGCACCGGAGGAACCATAAAACATGCGACTCACCGTTCGCAGATATACTCTTCTTCCGACAGTCAAAAGTAGGAAAATGCACACCAACCAGGTAGAAGGTTGCCGTATAGGAGAAGACGGAAGTCGTGAAGAAAGCCATCAGGATCCGACCAGGAACTCGGCAAAATAAAAAAATTCATCTGTAACAAAATAAAAAAGAATTACGGTTAATTTTGCAAATAATCAATTTTTATTCTAATAAAATTATATATAAATTCGGATTTTATAAATAATAGCAATAGCAATTAAAAAAAAGAACTCTTAATTATCAAATGTTGAAATTGTAAATTATTCCATTTCAATTAAAATTAATTAAATAAAATAATAAGATACTTACACTCTTTCCTTATGGAGCAACGCCCAAGACTCCTCTTCAGTGGTGGACTCCTCTTCAAACTTCAATACTGGATATATCATGCAATTAAAATGAAAAAATTAAAAATAAAAATAAAGATATGAAATACTAATCAATACTCAATAAAACAAAAGTAATAATAAATATTGATAATTGATTACAATAGATTAAAACAATAAATTCTTACAAAATTCTATTTCAAACTCATATCAGGTGTCATGGCGTCCTTTCAATATCCATCAAATATCTGTAATAAAAAAGAAATACGAATTTATGTAAATAAAATTTAATCAACAATAATAAAATTATTATTAATAAATGATCGAACTATAATTTATGCAAAATATTTTAATAGGTGCAATGGGTACCTACTACTTATCCAGAAGGATGCTCTCAACACGTCTTATCTTTCTTTCGACCTTCTTTCGCGCCGAAAACCGATCGGCACCGTTCAGTACTGTCCCTCTATCGGCTGATACCTAAACAAGTACACGAATAGGTCTAAATAGGAATATGTAATATTACGATGCTCAAGAAAGAAGGTTATTAAATTAAAAACAGCAAATTGTATGAAACAGTACTAAAAGCATTCAATAATGTTTAGGAAGTTAACGATATAAAAGAGAAAATAATTCAGATTCTGTTCCACTCTCATTATGCATTAGTGGCAAGAGCAAAAATTTTCAACCCACGTATTTTTGAAGAGAACGCCGAATTAATGTTAAAGATCGAGAATTCAGACTTCTCTTCGATGTTTCTCTCTGTTTTTTGTATTATTAATACCCAATCGGCAATTTAATTTAATATTTGAACATAATTTAATCTTACCTGTTGCAGACACGTGCCAAACGGACGAAGCTTCGAAGAGGACTGTTGCACTCCACCACACTCCGCACATAGCACCCTGCAACGATGAATCTGATTGGTCTAAATAAGAGGACGCCATAATGGAACGACCAATCACAGGCATTGATAGAAACTTCGAATTGCTTTGAAACTTTAACATTAAAAGAACGGAAAGATTCGTTGAAAATTATGAACGCCATATTGAAATAAGGTCAAGATTACTTTTTTCACTTTAAAGCACCGAAATAATAAAAACAAAATAGAAAAATACATAAGATATTAATAGTATTTAATAAATTATCACCATAAAAGCAGAATAAATGAGAAATATGTTATTTTAATTCGTATCTGTATCGACAAAATAGGGTACAAATTTTCAGCTTACACATTTCTGAAGACAATATGGAAATGATGTCAGAAGTCATGACTCCGGTCTTCTCTTCAACTTTGTCTTCTGTTTCTTGTATTTTTGATACCTAATCACTTTAATCACATACACGAGCTGCGAATGATTGCGCTGTCGAGCATACTAAACGAATGAACTGCGCCCTACAGAAAAAACGACGAACTAAATTTGTAGTCTGTTTTACCTTTTTGACGTCTTTCGCGAGTAAAAAATCAACGAAATCGTAGTTCTCACTATTTTTCTAAGCGAAAGGCCCACGGCCGACCCTGACTACAAAGTCGCTGAAGAACTCTGATCCTTTACAAGTGTTGCCCGTGTGGTGCAGCACTAGTATATCGGAGCAAGTAAAACACTGGGTGAGCACCCTCTGTTCCTCTCTGTTAAAGATTAACTTGTTGCTGTTTTCATTCTGTTTACAAACAATCAAGAGTTGCGAGGCTAATTGCATCGCTAATTGTGCGAAAAACAAAAGGAAAAAGATGTCTGTAAAAACGAAGGAAGTAAAGAGAATATTAGTACCCATAGAGGAGAAAGTAAGAAAAATGTAACAACCATATGATTTTCACATGTTATTTGCTTTTTTATGTTTACATATATTTAATGTTGTAGATAAATAAATTGGGAGAGCTCATAAGGGACAGTTCATTCTGTGCAAATGACACAGCATCGACAGAATCTGTGTTTTTTGAACAATTGAAATGTTTAGGAAAAAAGTTTGATGTTCTGTCAAAAGAGGAGATTAATGATTATGAAGAAATGGAGTCAAAAATTACCACCATAGTAAAGGAATTTTCTTCCTTAGAATATGTTAACGAGTCGGTATGTGAAATTAAGAAAGAGACTGGTTTTTCCCCTTCATTTCCATTGACAGTATTCTTTACAGATCGAAAATGTTGACAAACAAACAGCTGAACAAATCTTATCGAATGTTCTTGATAAGTTTAAATTGACACTGGAAGCTCTAGAAAAATTAGGATGTTTGCCTCTGAAACAAAGATTAATGGATTGCTTGGAATATGTTAGCGAAATGGGTCAAGCAAATGAGATTGAACACTTTCAAAACATCAGGGTATAGAAAATACTGCTGCAGAATGTTCTACTCCCTTTAAGTTTATTAGGTTTATTGAAAATGTTTCAAATTTGTACCCTTATCCATAGGAGTTGGGCACTTCTATTTTGGAATTGCTGGGACCATTACAAATATATCGTAAGAACCTGGCGTCTCGATCACTCGCCGAAAAAATTATTTTGTACTTGTGTCAATTGTGCACAGCATTCAAACTGTTAGTACAATTAGTGCAAGAACAACATCGGCTAAACGCACCAATCTATGTAATAGAACATTTTATGATCTCTACATTTTAAAAGTGTACATAAATTTTCTCTAATCGGATGTTTACGCTTTTATTCGCATAGAATTGCAAGAAATATATTTGCGAAAGACTCTGTTTTTGCTTAAAGATGCTAATGGAAATACTGGACATACCAGATCCATTACCCGAGGATGAAATATCCGAGAGAGAAAATCACTTTGTTTACCGGTAATGAATCGCATCAAATCAAACGAATTTTAATCGCTGAGAAAACGACACTGTATTTCCATGTCTATCGTTTTACCCTTCTTTTGTTTTCAGAATGGACTTGGTACTGGATATTTTATCGGAAATGCCGAGTAAATCGCAACAAGATCAAATATCAGAATGTCAAGAGTTATGGTACCGAATAGAAGACGTATTTTCATATGCGATGGCGATCGCGCAAGTTTGCAATCCATGTAACTTTAAAGCGATAACCGGAACTTGTCAGTCTATTATATCAGAATACGAGAATTTAAAATTTCAACTCACATCCGAATCATCCGATACGGCATTAAATAATCTATTCATAAATAGTTTAAGCGACGCACTTTATCGACTAGAACGTAAAATCAATATATCAGTATTGAATCTCGTTATGGAAGTCTTTAGCGATCCTTTTAATGCCTTGAAAAAACTCGTCACGATCTGTGGTAATTCGTTAAACGCCAAACAACGATCCAAGAATGATTTGGCCGACGCCATAGAAGATTTTGATCAAATTATAGACAAATCGATGCAGATAGGATTATTTGCTATTGCGTCTTGCAAGGATAGAAATCGTGAGTTGACTTTTTTCATAATTTATACGCGATTAAATTTCTTTCCTTACGATCGAATTTGTTTACCACTCCAGGGATCAATCAGATCCGAAACAGTCTAGCAAGTCTTGAATCATTAGAAACTGAATTAATTTCCGCCATTACTACGTTTTACTTGCACCCAGAGAGCAAAGAAATGCGTGCAAATGTAAAATTACTGACCACGCAATGGCAAATGGAAGTTAATAAATTACAAGATGCGATAAATTTGATTATGGATTCAGCAGCATATTGTCAGGTAAACTGTTTGCTCGTATGCAATGATATTGCTGAATAATTCACACATTGTCTACTATTTAGGTAGTTTTGGACGATCTTCAAGAGCGTGTCTCGATAATGTCTAATTGTCTCGATAATAGAGAACCAGTCACTCAAACGCAAGTACAAACCGTCGTGCTTAGATCTTTGTCACTATCTCGACAAATTAGTGCCACTATAAGTGATATTGGAAGCGACACTATAGAAAGACAAACGATAATGATGGTTAGAGAATTGAAAGCTGGTAAGTCCGTGTGTTATGGATCTTTAATCTTTTTATCGAATAAATCATCGTAATCATCTTTACTTCTAAGCAATATTTGAGGCTGATACTGCATCAAAAAACCTTTTAACGGAAAATGCAACGGAACCACAGCAATTACGTGTAATAAAACGATGCGAATTAATATTGAATGTGATGAAACGGTTGCATCCTGCTTTGGTTGCTATTATGAACAATACAACGTTGATGAATACTAGTTATGGAAAACACGGGAAAGGGCAGGGTGATACTATTCATGGTATAGTTATATTTGCATCCTATTATACGTGTAGTACATCTTGAAATCATTTTTTACCTTTACTCACGACAGATGTAAGCAATAGATTGGCATCGACGATTGGCAAATCAGCGGACAGTCATCAACAGAAATCCCTAACTTATATAAGAACACCTTATACAGGTACGAAAACCATTGCCCGTCCGAAATCTCGCAACTTTTTAAAATCTTGTGTACATCTTTCTAGTGAGCACTTACAAGTCTCCATTATCTATACAAACGGCAAACAACGTCTCTAGAACGCAATTGAATTTATCGTGTCTGATTCCATACATTAAAAAGGGACGCGAGATGCGCACTGAACGTTCAATCATGTATAAAACTCCTTGTAGAAATGACTCTGTTGATCAATCTCTGATCGACGGAACATTTAAACTGAGAAATTTGACTACCATCAGACAACATCTTTTCAGCAGAGACAGTATTAGTTTGCAGGATGATACTTGTTTGACCGAAGAAAGTATGAATCTGACAGGTAATGTGTGCATAGATACAGCGTTTTCTTTTTTATCAACAATTAATTATCAACCAGATAAAATTTTTAGATATTTTAGAGAAATTTGTAAGTTCCTGTACAACTTTGAGTACAACTGGATCGAAATCTCACTACATAGATGAGACACAGTGCGACACAACAGCCAATAAATCGGGTCAAAAATCTGCTACAAATCTAACAGAATCGTTGGTAGAATGTATCGGTACCCGATCTAGAATAACTAGTAAAATGAATGAATGTTCTGCAATCGGCGGTGGAGATGGTCCATCGATCGTGGACGAGTCAAAACCGTATAGTGACACTCAAAGATCAAATAATAATACTGAAATAACTCAGAAGCGATTATTTGGGGATTAAAAATTACATTGAGAAAAACATGTTCATGTTTGATCTGATTTTGCAATCCTGGAATAAACACAAATTTTTGTTATTCAAAGGTGCTTTGAAATCGTTCCTAATAAATACGAAATTTTTTATTTATCTAACTTCGGCATTATGTTCCCTTATTAATCCTAAAACCTGTCAAAGTTTCATAAATAAATTTTTAAAAACTTAAATTGGATTTCGATTATCGATTGTTATATTATACGATTGGTTGCGTTTGAAAACACCTGCGCGCGCAACATCTCGCTCGTTCTTGCGATACGCTAATTCATTTTACTTATCGAAGTGAATCGAGATATTCACGTGATCCGCGATTGTATTAGTTTTGGTGGGTTCAGCCTACTTGTAAAACACACGAGAAAGTTCATTTATTTAAAGAAAAATGGGAGCGTCGGTATTACCAATATTATTTTTCACGATACTTTGGGGAATCGTTGGAATCGTTTTACCCATTTTCGTTCCAAAAAGTGCTAATCGCGGGTGAGTATAATTTTTGTGAATTTCTTGTTAAGATTCTCATTCTTTGAGCATTGTTCAATACAGAAAAAATTAATGTAATTGAAAATTGAACATTATTGATTTCACCCGTAATTAACATCGTTTTATCCTATATAATTTTCTTTACAGAATTCTTCAGGTTATGCTGATGTTGACAGCTTTCACATGTTGGTTATTGTAAGTCAGCTAAATAAATTATTTAAGTGAATTCATACTTTAGTTGATTTATAATGTAACATTTGTTCTTGTAGCTGGTTATGTTGTTATCTGGCACAAATGAACCCACTAATTGGACCAAAATTATCCAATACTACAATTCTTATGATGGCTCGAGAATGGGTAAGTATTTTGGTCGTTCACATTATTACAACTGTTTTCTTGCCTTATAACAAATATGTATGTTTCAGACTCACGTTCAAATCGAATAGGAGGAAGAGTGATTGTTGAAGGAAATAATGTTATAAATATATTCCAAACATCTTGAAAAAATTGCTGTATTATAGTGAACATCCAATACTTGGGTATTTACGTATATGAAAATACAGATGTTCAAAGATTTATTTTCAACTATCAGTATCTTGACATAGCAAAAATCATTTGCCTGTCAATTGTATATTTTAATCAAATGTAAAATATTACTTTGTTCTGATACCAAAACAGGAAGAGTATGTATAATTATGATACACTGTAACAGTGGTAACTATATAAGAAAAATAAAAATAATGATTAGTTAAAAGTTATAATTTTGTTCACTACAAATGTCCCTTGCTTTAAGTTTTACGTTATAAACATTCGATAAACGAACGAAACCACTAATGTTGACAGATCGATACAGAACGGGAGCGCACCCATTGTATAGAATGTAATACTCGCGTGCGCGCGCGTGCATTGAATATATATATATATGTAATGCATAGAAACATAGGTTATACCACAGAGTTATACTTTCGTGTTTACTTGTCCACTTTTTGCTGTGCAAGAATGCATATGTGCATATGCACGCGTATTTGTAATTGATGTTCGCACTTACGTGTGGTATGTGACACAAGCATATACGCCTATACATATATGTGATTGTGCATAAAGTAAAAGTGACAAGTAGTGACGCGATATCAACCAAGAAAAACAATAATGGAGGCGTGTAATGCCGTTGAACGTGAAGTTGACAAAATTTTACTAAAATTTGGTGTGGTAAACGAACATGCAGAGACAGTATTGCAAGATTTGATAAATCATATTGAATCTTTAAAAAAAGAATTCGCAGAAGGTAAGCTATACGATTCATCTTCCTACAACATTGTGTTTCGTTGACAATTCATCAAGCAAAAAAATAGTTATCAGATTCTGGTACCAGAGATACGTTTTACGAAAGTAGAAGAGATTCTAGAAAGTTGTAAATGGTACACGACAAACATTTCTTTGTTGTGTCGATGAATTTTAACCTGAAACATACATATTTAAATGTTTCTTTTTGGTCTGAGTCTAACCTCTTCTGTAAGACAATGTTTAAGATTTTTCTTTGTACTAAACGTTTCTTAATCATCGTTTAGTGAAAACAATGAATACTCTTATTGCACATACGATTAATATACGATTTAATAGCGATATTATTTGTTCTCAGTACCACCTGATCATGAGTTAACACCAGTTCAGGTGCAAGTGTTGAAAGATGCAATGAAAAAGGTTTGCGAAACCGTTCATCGTTTAACCACTGAACATCGAGAATTACACGGTTCTGTCTCAAAAGTGGGAAAAGCAATAGACAGAAATTTTACGGCTGATTTTGCTAGTACCAGTAGAGAAGATGTTTTCTCTGGTCCAGAAAAGACTCATCTTTTAAATCAAGTAATTTGTCAACATTTCTATCGTCACGGAATGTTGGACATCGCAGCCGAATTAGCAGCTGTAAGTTAGCTCGAGTGTACCGAATTAATATTTCTATGTTTAGCGATTACAGTTTGAATAAAAAAATAAAATTCTTTGTTCGATTCAGGAAGCTGGGATTAAAACGGACGAAGGAACGAAAGAACCGTTCACAGAATTAAATTACATTCTGGATTGTTTAAAACAAAGGAACCTTGAACCTGCGCTAGAATGGGCTAAAAAACACCGGGAAGCACTTTTAGCACAAGTATGCGCCACATCGTTATCATTATCTGTACGGCATTATCTGTTTGACGAAACATTTTCTTTGTAGAATTCTTCGCTCGAATTTAAATTGCACAGGTTACATTTCATAAGACTGATTCAGCAAGGTCCTAGCAAACAAACGGAAGCAATAGCATACGCGCGACAAAATCTCACGCAGTACGTTGGTCGTCACGGGAAAGAAGTACAAGCATTAATGGGAACGCTACTCTATTTACCACACGGAATACAATCATCCCCTTACAGTCATCTGTTAGATCCCACTTTGTGGCTCGATATTCACGATGTGTTCACAAGAGAGGCGTGCACCTTATTTGGTTTAAGCTTAGACAGTCCTCTCTCAGTGTGGTACGTTACCCGTTCATCGTCTGTTGCATTGAGAAAACTACGAACCGAGAAAAAAGTCTGTACCGTTGTCTGTTTTAGCATCAACGCTGGCTGTACCGCGTTGCCGACACTTTTGAATATCAAGCAAGTGATGCAACAAAGGCAGGTAAATACCGTTTGGAATGGAAAAGACGAATTGCCGGTAAGTAACCGTCGTCGTGAAAACGATCGAGAAGCAACGATACGTTAATTAAAGGATATTTTTCATACAGATCGAAATAGATCTGGGGAAACAGGGTCGTTATCATTCTGTTTTCGCGTGTCCGATTCTAAGGCAACAAAGCACAGAGAACAATCCGCCGATGAAATTGGTTTGTGGTCACGTTATTTCGAGGGACGCATTAAATAAGCTTACCAACGCAAACAAGTATGTTTTGAAACGGAAACGAGAATACTGGATTAAAAGAAGGTGAAGTGGTATATTAAAGAAAGCAATAAATCAAAGGAAAAACCGATTTTTTTTCAGATTGAAATGTCCATACTGTCCGGTTGAACAGAATCCAGAGGATGCTAGGCTTATATATTTCTAGATTATTGTGATAAGAACACGTTTGTTAATCTCTTCAAAGATATCATGCTTAAGTCACCGGATTGAATACACAGTTACGTCGAATATCATATTCCATAAATTCTCACGATTATTGTAAACTTTCATTTTGCTTGTCAGACTGATTTCGATCGTTGTGTCCTCGATACGTTTGATATTATATGCTGACACGTTCTATCGTCCGAAAGCTAAGAAACACTTTGTCGCTTCTTTCCCTTGGTTATTTCAGAATCTTTCGACGAGTGAATACACCTACGTAATTACGTAAGTTTCAAATTATTTGAGAATGAAATATATATGTATTTGTGTATATATATATATATATATATATATATTTATATTCACGTAATTGCGAGTACGATGCATAACAGCGATAGTATTAAGTAACAAGTTTTTGTATATATCGTTATTAAATGTTAATTATCATTAGAATTGTTCGTATCGATAACTATTAACGATGATGCGTGTCTGATGGTCATCCGTACCGTCATCGCGTATCGATGTAATTGCACCGATGTTCTTCTTCTGCTTATAAAACGTGTAGTGATTTCTAACGTTTGTTTACAGAAGATTTTCATCGATACGTGCCCTGTAACGAGATATTTTTCTACCCTGAATATTTAGCGAATAAATAAAATAAAATAAATATTGTACAATTAACAAAATTGGAATGTGATATATTGGAAGAAATTAAGAATCATCCGATATACGATCGCGATAAATGGAAAAATTCGTAACGATTCGGTTTTAAAGACCGTAGATCAGAGCAATACTGTTGTTCACGTTAAACACGTAGTAGTTTATTAAGTAGACGATACTTGAATCATGTACACGTAAATAGAACATGCTATAGAACGGTAAGCATAAAGTGGAATAACGATCTATTCCCTGGAAAACAAACCATCCGATCGGAGCAGGTAGCGTGAACGGGGATCGTAGACATCGATATCGATATTTTCAGAGTCTCAATGGAATAAATAATTTTTTTTTTTCTTTTTTCGATAAATGCACATTTTCTTACTCACATCGACGATACGATTACGCAACAACACGGATACAGAGGTAGAGACAGAGAAACAGAAAAATCGGCACACGCGTTTATTTATATGTGCGCGTACTATCGCATCGTTTAAGGATATTTCTTTTTTCTTTCCAATTCTCATTGTTCTTCGACAAGTACGTTTCACTTACGGTCATTAAATCGGACCCATACACCAGCTGATTAAATATACATACATGCTTCGCTACAGTCGTAAGGTATAAGGGAACATCGTATTGGATGATTACACGTGGCTCGTTAAACATAGAACAATCCCTACACTTACGTACAGAATCGGTACCGGTTATTCACAAGGTTCATTTTCTCCAGTTCCTTCGAGCGTACATCTAAATCAAAGCAATTTTCCGTCGATTTTAAGCGCGATTTATCGACGAGATCGTTACTAGCAACGAGAAAACGATCGTTTTGTATCCGGCTGCCGAAGTACTTTCGTGCCTCGTCGTATCGCTTATTGTCTGTTCACAATAGCAGTCATCGACGAGTTAATCTCTAAGCTTTTTCATCGATTCGTTTGGACGCGTCACAAAAGTTACATTGAAAAGCGTAGCCTCACCTTGAAACGCATCGTTCAATGATCAAGATTTCCAATACGATCGATGCGGGCAAGCAGTTGCAAAGTTACATATCGCTAGTGACCAGATGAAATACGACGACGAGAAGCCTGCTCGAAGAAGCAAACAAAAACCTATATGGTACATCGAATGTGTCGCGGATTTGATTTTAATAGAAAAGGAGGATGAACCAGCGGGCAAAATTGTATCGATCAATAATAAAGTTAATTTCATAGATGCACCTACAGATTGCTATAATTGCTTTCTAGAGACATACACATACTTTTACTATATTTACAGGAAACCAAAGGAGCCCTTAAACACGTTGATATGGATAATACATGTACCGGTTATGTAGATACAACGACGTCGATTCAACCGTTTCTCGATCCGATCCTTACGATTCCTAAGCTCTTTATATTGTAACTCGATAGAGGTTGATTCTCTGATCGGGTTGGATTCTGAAAAATCATTCGATATCTCGATCTCTATTTTCGCGAACAGCATGCCCCTCCTGTTTTTCCTTAATCGTACATCCGCGGCAGCGTCGAACGTTCGCTAAGAATTCGCAAATCGAATTGACTCGCGTTTCTTACCGGGAGTAGGTGCGTGAGCAACGCAGCCTCGAGGATTCATCGAATTCGCAGTGGAAGCCTGTTCTATTTCTGCACCAGTTAACTCTTTGTTACATATCGTTCTACGTACGCGTTTCAATCGCCTAACAACGTTACAGAGTCAAACGTACCACGAAAACTCCTAACAACTCCTAACGATTTTGCTTAATCGATAAGCATCAACATTATACTCTATACTTGCTTGAATATATTAAATAGACCCGAACAAGGCCCGTTAACGATCAATAAATTAACAACGTTATCTATGCGTTTCTCGAGAGATTCGCCTACATCCATGGTGTAGCTTAAGACCTAAACGTAGAAACGGTCGTCGTTGCTCGTAATCGTTCAACGTTTCTCGACCAGAACAACAAACACACGATTATCGATAAACTTTTAAGATATATAATGTTCATTAACGTTACTACTCTACGTAAATATTATACTAACACCATTTCGAACTACTATCGCTAGAAGAAACGAGGCGTAACGCCCTTACGATCTATGATCTATAATATGCATTTGAATAGCTAATCCGAAAGATAGAACGCGAACGAAGAACGAGAGAACGGATTTATATCGATGGGAAAACGAGGGAAGGATACGTGCTTGAGTTTTCCGCCGCGAATTCGCATATAGTTTATCTTGTAATTTGCAAATTCGTCGAACGGTTCGACGCTTATTTTCTTAAAGTTTCCGCGTTACTACTGTTCGTTTCGTTTCACAAGAGAACGTTTGATCGTTCGTGAATTAGAAACAACTCGGGTTTAATTATTATTATCAGGATTTCTTGGTTTTTCCTCGTTGCTCGTGAAAAGCAAAGTCGCGAGAATCTTCGACACTCGAGACGCTTCATTCGTAATTATATCCGCGATTACCTATAAGTGGAACATTCTATATACCGATTAGATTTGCAAATATTCGAAAAACTCTTCATCATGCCTAATCGCCGTGGCACGGTTTCCCTGCAGCCATTCAGGGAATCCAAAGTAGGCGGTTCTCCGTGGAAAATTTTTAATTTAAATTTAAATTGACGGCCTCGAAGCGCTAAAAACTTTTCGCGATTCGCGAATCAACGAGCGCGTATCGATGTATCCTTATCCATCGGTGCCTCGATCAATCGACGTAGATATACTAGGTGTTTCCAACCTAGTGCCACAACAGCAGAGCGAGTAAATCTACATAAAAGAATAAGCTGAAAATTCATCGAAATTTCAATACTTATTTTAAAAAAAACCCGCCATAAACTCGTGGCGTTGTCTGGTTTCAACGAATAGCAAACGATGTGATTTTTGCGTTTTTGATGCACCAAACAGTAGATATCACCACTTGTTGCCGCAACTTTTAAATATAGAATTTTCGATGAATTTTCAACATGAATTTATTTAGAAACAAAGCTTCGTAGGAAAAAAATGTCACTCTACATTTTCTACTTACTTTTTCGTGCAAATTCGCTAACTCTTCGGTTATGCCACCAAATCGGAAACTTCCAGCATATTTGTTTGGTAACACGCTGTTCACGTGTACGATTTTCTTGAACGCACACACTTATTCTTACGATTTACTCTACCTTTATGTACAATAAACGTTAGATTAGAAAGTAAATAATAATGTTTCGTGTACTGTATTCAACTCGTTGCTGCTGCATCTCCATAACGTGGAAAAAGAAAAGTTTAGAAACAGCCGCGGTGCCATTATTGTTCGTCCTCTTCATTCTGGTACGTTACGTAGCGCACAGACGATTTTTCGCCAATGATCAATGACTGAAATGCAATCAATGATATATGTTTGCACATTCACAGTTTGATCAATCGATCGAATTACCTTTTTCTCCTCTTTGGTAGGTGGTGCTCTCAAAAAGTACATTAGCGGGGCGTAAAGAAAGTTTAGAATCGCGATTCCAAATAACATCCACTCGAAACCGATAGTGTTGACTAGCGTGCCGCTCAATGCAGGTCCTAGAAAATGATATATAGGTCTTTTATCGATTATTAATAACATTGTTGTAGCCGGCGAAATGTTTTTGCAAAGAACTAGAGGGCATAGAAGCATCGGTGGTTCAGTGGTAGAATGCTCGCCTGCCACGCGGGCGGCCCGGGTTCGATTCCCGGCCGATGCAAAATTTCTTTTTGCAAGATCCTCTTTTACGTACCCACGGCGAAACCTAAACAGAAGGCGACATCTCCGATAGCGTAAACGCTTCCGTATACAGCGGTATGTCTAATGTCTACCAGATATCCCAATTCGGGCATCATCGAACTGTCTACCATGCCAATTGCGAATCCCAAGCCGGCGTTGGGTACGATCAGATGATCGATACTTCTAGCCAACGGTATCTATAAAAAACGGGATCAACATTTACACCCTTTGCATAGCAGAGCGTTTAAAACCACAATATCCTGGATTTCTACCCTGATACTTACGCACATCAAACAGATACCAATAACGACCAGTCCGATCAGGGAAGCTAACCATCTACGGCACGTGAAAAATGTATACAGTATCAAAATAATATAAATAAGAATATATTTATAATAAAAAGACCAAAAAAAAATAATTCGCCCGAACAGGGACTCGAACCCTGGACCCTCAGATTAAAAGTCTGATGCTCTACCGACTGAGCTATCCAGGCGACGTATTTCAGGCTCCTTCATTGTTCGGTACTACCGTCTTTCCAATTTGTGCAATTCCTAATACTTTAATAAACGAATAAACGATCGAGTATTTACCAACCTGCCCATTCTGTGTCCAAGCGGTCCGAAAAGATTAGTACCGATCAAGTAGCTGATGCTAGCTGGTAAAAAGGTGGCACCTTGTTTCCATCTGCTCGCACCCATCGTGTCCATCATCCAAATCGGAAGACTAGGCTCCAACATAGCGATACCCATATTGGCGAACGTGATAGCCCCTAAAAGAGCGTGATTTCGTCGTTCATTGATACTACCAGAAAAGGTAGACGAATAAGTACGTACCAGCGGCTATGACAATATAAGGGTCGGTGATTAAACTCTTCAGAGACGGCGGTTCAGCCTCGGTGTACACGATGGACGGTTGAAGTACCAAAAGCTGTAAAACTGGAAAGGGCAATTTGAGAGCGTTGTAAAGGGTTAAAATGTAGAGATTTGTAAATGGACGAGACTCACGTCCATCGCCAAGGGCTAACGCGGAAAGAACCAAGAACGGAGCAGATTTTCCAACGAATTCGTACATGACACCGCCAAATGGTGGACCGATGAGAACGCCAAGGGCCAAACCACCCAGAGCGATTCCCATCGCGTTACCCCGTTCCTTGTCGTCTTGGTACCTCTCGGCTAACATACCCATACCTACGAATCAATAGATTTCTTTCGTGTCCTTAACTGTTTCATCTTTTCAAAGCAAAGGAAATTCATAGGATTTACCTGATACGCTCGAACAAGAGGAACCGATTCCTTGCAACGCTCTTGCCAAGAAAAGGATACCGTAGCTTCGTCCGAACGCGAATATCAGCGTAGAAAGAAACATGATGATGAAACCGGTGAACATGGGTATGCTGTAGCCGATTCTGAAACGAAATAAATCGCATGACACTGTTTCTTGTCGATCGTGATTTAATAGGTACATATTCGTTTACTTGTGGGTGAGAGGACCGACAATCGGATTAGCCAGCAATTGAACGAAAGCTTTCGAAGCGAACATTATGCCAACGGCGACCGTCTCCTGTAGTAACTCGCGATGTCGCTGCTTCTTTTCTTCTATCTCTGATAAACTCGCCCCAACGTTCGTGCTTTCTGTCATACGAATCGAACGAGACCAGCATTAGTAACAAAGCAAACGCGATAAGTGCAAATCTCTTACCAGTCATGCCTATGCAAGGAGGAATGGTCGTATGGAGAAACTCGGTTTGAGAATCGATCGTATTGTTCGAAGAGCCAGCACCGTTTGGGTTGGTAATTAGGCTGGAAGTTGTAGTAGAGGCGATCTTGGTCGTAGGCTGAACGATTCCCAGCGTCGTTCGTCCGGGGCCATTGCCTTCTAGGTGTTGGCTCAGCGTTGAGTTAGGATGCTTGATGTCGTACAGAAATTCCGGTATGATGGGCACTGCGAACGCGTGATGTGATCGTTTATGGATTTTTCAAAGATACGATTCGAGAATGCTGCGTCTGAACCTTCCTTGTACGACGCGCTAACTCGTTATACTGCCTAAGTTTCCCTTCGTTCTCAAAGCTCTCGAGGGCCTGTCTGCAGAAAATTGGTTGCACGTGGTGACGACAAAAGGTCCTGACTAGAGACGGCGTGCAAAATCACTAACGGTGATTTATCACAGTGATCGTAGAATCACGATCGCGATCGTGAATGAAGTTAAATCACGATCGTGATCTTGTATGATTCCTCTTCGTAAATCTTGATCTTCATTCAACTATTTTTTTATAAAATGCTTCAATATAGCTTGTATAGAAATATCTGAGCATAATGAGCAAAGAACGTTCAATTAGTCATAAGTTTTGCTGGTTACCAGTTAATTACGGTTTTTACTTTCGACCAATCAGAAGAGAGTATGAAAAATCACGAATCACTGTGAAAAATGATCGTGATTCACAAGTAGCAGTTCTAGCCATCACTAGTCCTGACACGCTGTCAGGCCTGAACGTATTGATGCCAACAGGCCTCAACCACGTGCACAGCGTACGAACCAGCTCGTAAACCGACGATATAGAAAAATACTGGCGATCCTCGATCGCGATCATACGCTAAACATTTCACACTCGCTACGAGTACGCGTTTCTCGAGCTTTCATATCGACTCGGGGGTGTAACTCAGTGGTAGAGTGTCTGCTTCGCATGCTGAAAGTCCTGGGTTCAAATCCCAGCACCTCCAAACCGAAGTCAGTATTTTTTTTCTCTTTCCAATTCTTTCGTGATCGTCCACGGTACGCGTACGGTCACCGGTCAGAATAGGATTTTTGGCGAAAGGACCCGTCTTAAGGGTGAAAAGCTAGCAAGAAGATTGTAGGTTAACGGTGAGTATGTAGCAAAGAAACGTTTGACCGCGATCGAAGGGTAAGGGAAAGAAAAGAAAATGGAAAGGGTGGCGTTAAAGAGGCGGCAAAGGTTCGAGGTCGTTTAAAGTACCGAAAGCGCATCTCATGATTTGTTAGCGCGCGATGGAGAAGCTGTTTCGTATGCCCTACATAAATGCATGACCACTTATCTGGATTGCCAGAACGAGTCGGACGTCCTCTCGACCCCTCGATTCCGCCACTTTCCCCGTAGCCTGCTGCCCTCGCGTATATTTCCGACCGCTGTATTCGATGCGTCGAGATTGCCGCGGCCAGGCGAAGGGCGAGCCGCTGGCCGCACACCGGGATATATGGTATAACAGACGCGTGCTTCGTGAATTAAACATTTCGCCGAGGCGATAAAGGAAAGCGCGCCGTGTCGGACCGAGTAAATAGCGATCGAGCAAAGAAGAGTTTAAGAACTGGAAAATCCAAATGACCGATTCTATCCTTAACTTCTTTTTTTTCAATTATAAACGCGTATCGATGAAGGTAGATCTAAAAGCGACAGGCAACCGAGTAGGAACAGCAGACTTCGTTGTTTACACAATTGGTTTCCTAAAATTGCCAACAAATTCAGTCATCGTTCAGGTATTTTTAGTACAAGTCGAACGGTGTTCAATTCCGATAGATTTACAACCTGGACCTCGACCATATGAAAGACAGCCGAAAATAGTCGGCGGTCCGCGAGGGTACAACCAGATGTCATGGGACCGATCGTTATTAAAGAGAGTTAGGGAAACGGTAGGCAGGTCGACGTTGGCTCTTTTTACCGAGCAAGAATATTGGTTTTAAAGGTGTTGGCAATGGAGCGAAAAAAGCAATAACAGATTTTGCTAGAGTCGTAAAGGAACAAGCGTTCCTCAAAGTAGTTTCCCTCTACACGCGTACATGCATATTCGACGCGCTATTTCTAAAAGACGTAGACAAAAGAAGCAACTTGAACTTTCATTTGGACGTTCGAAGCATCTTTGGAGAAAGAGGGCGCGTAATTAGTTCGTTTCATCAACGAGAAGAGAAGATTACGCTGGCGCTGGACGGTATCGAGCCGCCTTTCTTCCACAAAGCAAACCAAACTTTTCTTTCCTCTGGTGTTCCGCTAAGTTTCATCGCTTTCTCCTTTCTTTCACTTTTCTGTCGACGATTTGTTACTTACCAACCGTGGTCAGAAGCATATTGTCCAGAAGCAAAGCGATCGCGACGATCACGAGAACCAATTTTCGCGATTCTCGGCATCGTTGCAACCAACCGTTCCATTCTCCGCTGCTCATCCTCGTCCTACGTTGATTCACGACGACTCTTTTTCCTCTTCCGTTCGACGATCTGAAATGTAGCAAAGACGAACTGTAGATAGTATCGAGAGGATTCCGCGGTTCGTCGAACGACGATAAACAGGGGAACGTCTTCGACGTCGAACGTTTACGTTCGCTCCAACAATCCCGAGAATAACGCGACGCTGCGAGTCGAACTTCCGGCGTTTAAAGCACTTTCCGACGTGCTGCGAACGATTCTTCCATTGTGACGAGCGAAATAGCCAGCAATAAGCGAACGTCCCGAACGAAGAATTCGCTACTTTACGCAATCGACGAGAAAGAAGAAAGAAAAATGTAGGATAGACTGGGAATAGAGGAAAAGGCGTTTCTGTAGGTAAAGTCTAATCGAAATCGGGTCGGGTACTCGAACGAAGCGATCATCGAGCTATCGAACAGCCGGTGTCGTTCGATGATCGAGCTATAGAGTTAACGGCGTTAATTGGCCGCTTTTAGCGGTATCTCCCATGGACTATCGCGCAACCATTCCGCAGCCCATGGCCTCGCCGGTTCTCTTTTATTCGTAATAACTCGATTACTCGATGCTTTTAGCTCGGCTAATTTTCGCACGCTTCCCGTGAATAGGAAACCATTAAGGCCGTCTAAAGCGGCGCTCGACAACGATTTCTACCTCTCCTCTCCTTGTCACCTCGTTAAGAAGCATTCTCTGCCTCGCTCTTTCTCTCCCTCTCCCTGCCCCCTCTGCCACCCTGTCGTGCAATTTTTACGGAACGCACAAAAGAAAAAGAGTCCGCTTGGTCAGGGTAGTAGAATTGGTTCCGCGAGATAAGGCAACTTTTCACTGTGCACACTTCTCGATCACCGTTTGTCCGTCTGTCCGAGTTAGGTGGACCGTACACACGGATGGTACGCGCGTGTGCACGCCATACGATTTTATGTAACGGATAAGAGGATAATAGGGTCGTACGTCTTGGTTCTCGAGTATGCGGGCGGCTGCTGCGGACGAGTCAAAGATTGATAAGGCGTCGCGACGTGTGCGTAACGTTACGGTGAGAACGGTTCGCGAAGAAGCACTCGAGCCTCTGGCCTCGAGGGGACAGAGACGTTGGCCAGGAAGGAGGGTGAGGAAGACGGAGAAGAGGATTTAAGGGAAAAAAAGAATCGATGGAGAGGGAAGCAATCAGCATTCTCGTGAAAGCCGGGTCCCCTGGGTGCGTGCATTATTCTCCAGAAGAACCGAAGAAGATTTTTCTTTCGCTTTCCACTCCTGCCCTCCGATACTTTGCTTTCTCTTCCTACCGACGCGTTTCATTCTCTTATCCGTTCGGTAATCACGTCGAAGAAGTACCGCGAACGAACCGTATCTACCACCGGCTCTTTACCGATTCTTTTCTTCTCTCTAGCTTCTTTAACTTCTTTCCCAATCCCCTACCCTTTTACTCCTTTGTTTTCCGTCGACGAAACTTTCAATTTTCCGTTTCATTTTCGCATAAGCGACCGCGAGCGTTTAATTTAATCGTGCTCGAACCTCGAATCGCGCGTTCAACATCGATGCTTCGAGTGCGCGTTCTCGTAGGATCTAGCTGCTATCGACGAAAGGGTTTGACACGGCAGTGGTTTTGCGATTGACAGTTTAGTAGGCTCCGCGTTGATGAAGTGACTACGGATCCAACAACTACTCATCCGACCTCGTTATCCCGACTCGATGGACGCGTACGCGCTTCTACCCTTCTCCTCCTTCTCGCTCTCTCCCCCTCGTACACCCACCCAACTACCCTTTCATACTTCTCTTTTCTTCGCGTTCCCCTCTCTCTCAATGCCCATTTTCGCATTTCACTCCTAGCAACGCGTTTCATTGTACGCGATTTTATTCCACGAACGAGTATATTGAGAAAGGCCGAGTTAATAGAAAAATCGTGTCTACCGTCAAGCGTCGACCGTCAGCCGCCGATTTATCTTTCGGCCGTGCCTTGACCGCTCCCGCGGACTCGGCTCGCCTCGAACAACCTTTAGTCGTCGACCGATCCGTCTTGTTCCCTCTTTCAAAGTATCGTAATAACGCGTAATTCGCGCGAGATAAGCAGTTAAAACGCGTCGAAAGTTCGTTGGTGAATCACGTTCCAGAGACAAGATGCGACACGAGACGAGAGACGCGAGACGCGACGATTCACGATCGCTGGTAAACTTAGTTTTCACTTTGAAAAGCAATTAGCAGCGCTGCCAGACCGAACAACCGGAACGGTACGAGTGTTTCGCCGAGTGAATAGCTCGATCGTATCTTTCGGACAACTTTAACGCGACTCGAGTCGCTCGCGAATCAACGCTATTAATCGCGACGAATCTCGCGAGCGTACTCGACTTCCCTCAAAGTGGATCGCTAACTAGATTTCGCTCGGCAACAATTACACGCCTCTCGAAACTTTGTCGACCTTACAGATAGGTACGCGTTTCGTTCGTTCCGCTTCGAATCCATCGATTCGAGCGAACGAACGAGAGAGAGAGAGAGAGAAGGAAAGAGCACCGTACAAGAGACGCGATTAAAAGGCAAACTGTTGCTTCGCGCGTCAACAAGTTGGCCGACCGAGGAAAGGAAACGGTTAGACGAGCGATCCTTTCGTAATACCCGATTCCTCCTAGTTTTACGGCGATCGATCGGCGAGATCAGCGAACACGGTTTATCCCTCACCTCGTTCTTCTCCGTTCTCCAAAATGGAGCGTTCTCGTAGGTGCACTCGCGTCGCACAACTGCAACGACGATTCGTTCGAGTTAAGATCGAGCGACGATATGAAAATAATCACGACCCTCGGTTTAGCGACTTTGTCGCAAGTGGTTCAACGTCCGTGGAATATTTACGCGCGACGACGGATGGGCGCGCGGGGGAGCAAGCGGTGGCAAAGAAGGCGATCGCTAAGCCGTAATAACGAGCTTAAATCGAGCCCGAGACATGTTGGGCGATTCGCTGCTGTTCGCGAGCAATTTCAATGTCCATTTTCGAAACTCGTTGATGTCGTAACGCCTCGATATCCCGTTTGGAAAATCGACGGTTTCTTCTCAGTCTCGAGAGGACTATCTATACGCGAAACTGAAGACGCGGAGATGGAAATGGAAGGCGTGCATCGCGAAAGCGGACGGACAATCGAATGCAAACAAGAAGGCGAAATAAAATTACGATGGCGTCGTCTCTCGGTAAAAACGAATTTACCGAAGAGATCTCCGGACCCCGAGTCTCGATCAACCTAATCAAAGAACCGTCTGTTCAATCACACGAATAGGAACGTCGGTTCGCAAGCCCTGGTCCTACGGAAAAAGAATTTTTCTGCGTAAAATTGAAGGAAAATGGAAAGGAAACGGGTAGGTGCATAGTTGCACGCGATGACGCAGAGAAATGGCGAAAGCGAGAGACAAAGAGGGTAGAGTGTAGAGGAAGCGGAGGATGCAGAGAGAGGTTCGAAGTAGAAGCAAGCTTCTCGGTTACCGTGTCTGGCGATCGGGTAATCGCATTATACCCGGTAATTACGAGACCGCTCGTAGCGGTGCAGGACGAGGCTGCAGCTCGGGCAAAGTACCGGGCAGGGTTATGCAGATTGCTTTATAACCTTGTTACCGATCGCTCTATTAACCTCGCGAGCTTCGTATCAGATAGTAGCTTTCTTCGCGATTGCTACCAAACGGGTTGCCGTCTTCCTCCTTTTCGTTCTCATCGTTCTCGGGAACGTTCCTCTAACGGCTAACGCGAGCGAGCTGCGAACGACACGCGGAAACGAGGGTGCAATCTCATGCGTGAAATTCAGTTAGGTCTGGAAGCTCGAGCAGGAAACTGCGCGACACGACGTAACCGTTGAACGGAAGAAACGGAAATTCGTCTGCATGGGATTTCTCTCGACTCCGGTGAAAGCGGAAATGCCGAAAACGAACGGACGAACGGACCAGTGAGACGTCGCGCGCACGATCGCTATTGGAAACGGCGCGACGATAGAAAAACGGACAACGTTTCACCAAGGAAACGAGGAAAAATAAAAGAAAAGTTGCTTTCTTACCCAGACGGAAGGAGATGGTTCGTCGAGCTGTACGAGCGATGAAAAAGCGGCAAAGGCTTTCGGTCTGAATCGATGGATTGCTGGTGGCGAACGAGACGGCAAGCCGGACGGTTAGGATTGGTAGCCGTGCTTCCAGGTGGAAGCGCCGCGGCCGATTGAAGAGCGACGGTGGAGGCGAGGGTGCATCTCACCCCGATTTTTCCGGCACGGGGCTGTCGCGCTCTCTGCCCACCGACGCGTCGTTCGCGTACGCGTACGCGTCGCGTTCGCGTCTCTCTGTCGCTTTCGCTTATTCTCCCGTCGCCCGTCGTCCGTCACCCGTCGCCCTCTCTTCTCGATCCTCCAAGATCCACGCTCCCTTGACCGACTCGAAAGCGCATGGTCCATCGCGCCTCCGGAAGCCCCCACTCGTCCCTTTCGCTACCGCCCCTTTATCGCTGCGTTTCTCTTCCCTCCGTTCTGCTCGCTTCCGCTTCAACCCTCTCATCCCCAACGCTCCACAACCCCTTACAGCATCCCTACCTTTCGATCTTTGCTACGCTTTTCCCGATCCACCGATGCTTCTTTTCATCTCTCCCGCCCTATCCTTCGTTTCTTCTTTCCGTCCTCGCGACTGTTATCCTTGCAATTTCCAAGCGTTTCTAGAAAATTTCTACAAATCTTTCGTGAGTCAACGAATCGAGCGAACGCGAATGCGAACGCAAAGGGTGTAGGATCGTTTCGGGGACAGAGGATGCCGGCGAAGAATGCGGCAAAGTGAAAGAGGGGACGGTCGAAGGGGGGATGCTATTAAGATCAAGATTAAGATTAAGGGGGTGTACGGTGGGAATGCGATTCGAGGTCGAAAGGAACGCAAACCCTTCGAGGAATTCTCGATGCGCGTACCAGAGGCGGCTCTTTATTAAACCGGCTTTTATCACGTACCAGAAACCGAGTCGCCGTCGCTTCCATCGTTCCAGGCTTTTTCCAGCTATTGGTCGCGTAAGTGGCGAGGAAAGGCGATCGATCGACGGACAGGAGTCGAAGGACGGGCTTGGTGCGAAAGGAGAATTCGCGACGCGACGCGAGACGAGGCAAACGAACGACGATCGGTCTCGGTGGAGCGCGACGGACGACGCCGATTACAGCCTGGTTGGATCGCACGAATTCTATCTCCCGTTACCACCTGTGGAGCCAAAGTAGAAAGCGATATAGAAATTCCAGGCAGGAAGCGAATTCACTTGTTGATTTTAGGAAACTCCAGAGAAGACGGACGCGAGCTGCAACTTGTTGCTAAAGCAACGCGTTCGTCCTTGTTCGAAAGCGTAACCGTTCGTCGAACGATTTCGATACGGCTTCGAGATTCCGTATCGGTCGATGCAGGAACGAGGAGAACAGGCAAAGATATCCAACAATAGGCTGGAACGGGATAGAAGGCCTGTCTACGACAGACGCTCCTCTATCTCGGTACACCCATCTCCTGTGTAATTAATTCGAGAAGGAACGGATCGCGGTACGCCGCCGCTACCGGCGAAGATTGCCTCCGGAGTAGTATCACCCACTCGCCGGCATCTCTGCTCTTTGCTCCACCGGTGCTCCCCTCGGTCCTTCTTCTAGCCTTTTACTCTCCGTTTTCCCCATTTTCCCGTTTTCGCGTTGCGTTTCCTCGGTAAGTCGGTGCCGCGAAAAGGCGAAATCGTCGACAACGTCGTGGAGAAGGAGAAATCTCGTGACGAGATATCGCGGGATTACAGAAAAATCCACTTTACTCGTAATTGCCAAAGAATAAAAGAAACGTTGGATCGACCTCCATTCGCACGTCCCCTCTATCGCGATCCCGTTGCACTTTGCCTCCTTTATCCAGATCAGGAAATCCCTTTCTCCTCTGCTTCCTCGTTTTTCTTTTTTTACAATAATTTCGTCTACGATATTTCATCGTTCAATCGGTAGACAGACGTGATCGCCGATAGAGAGGCCAATCGCAGTTTCTCGACGATAACGAACAAACTAAACGGTTTCGCGACGAGTGAAGAATCTCGCGAGACCCTCGTCCTTTTCGTCCTCGTCGTCGTCGAGAAACGAGAACGTGGTTTTCCTTCTTTCGGCTAATATTCGAAGCGCGCGCGTTCCCTCGCGAAAAATTCGTCTCGCCAAGCGACGAATGAAACGAAGAGAACATCGAAAACGTTTTCAACCTCTGACACTGCATTCTCCGCACGAATACCATCTTTCCGAACTGATCGATTCGAATACAAAAATAAAAAATCTCTTATTTGCGCGTTGGAGGCCTTGTGTTGATCTTCTCTTATGTAAAGGGTACCCGCCCGTTAAATAAATAAATAGATAAATAGCAGATCAATTCTATTGAATCGTAAGTTACTCTTTGTTAAAACAAACGTTAAGGAAGGTGCGTTACAATCTGGTGAATGGCCAAACTAATTCATGCTCTTCACGACGGTGAAGAACGAAACCGAGGTCGATATCATCTGAAACAGAAACTAAATATGCAGATGTGATAGAAAAGACATAAGATATGGTAGAGGAAAGAAGAGATACCGAGCCAAACGTTTCCAACGAAAGCACCACGAATTTTCCAGCGGTCAGACGAGCGGGTTTCTGAGCTCTGATCAACAGCATGGAAATCGGCATCTGTAAGGGAACGGGGTGTCGATACCAAGGCGAGGAGAAGGCAGCACCGCCGATCGCTTCGCTCTAAAAACAGAAACGAGATAAAGCTGAAGAGACTTGAAAATCAGGCTCGACTAGAAATTACCTTCGCGAGAAGAAGATCCGCGGGCCAGCTACACAGGAACAACTGCATCAAGGAGATCAACAGCGGCGTAAAGTACTTGAACTTGTCGGGGTCGTCCTGTCGAAATAGATCGAGTTAGAATCGTTGATCGAGAAACAGATGCGTTTTATTTACCCCGACCAACTTGAAGCCCACCAGAGAAATGTTGTAGGTGCTGAGGACCAGTTGAATCAAAAATATTATGTGCGCGCGACGTTCGATTTCCTTGCAAAATCTGTTGGAAAAACGGAATGAAAAATGAGACGTGTCGACTCGAGAAGAGTCGAACGGCACTCACTCGAGCAAAGTTCGATGATAAATCAAACAAATCCGAAGATCGTCCGCCCCCGAAGAGGAGGACGAGGAGGAGCACGATCGACGAGCAGGGAACAAGTTTTCGATCCTCGATCGGATCACTTCAAAATGTCCGCAAGCGATCAACGCGAATAAGGGAGCGGTCGTGTCTACTCCGACGGACGTCACGCCGACACTGATAATCGCGAGAATCTGAAAAACGTACGCGATCTCGAACCACGGCGTTTCACGAATCTCTAGGAAAAATTCGTACGGCAAACGTCGCCCGTTTTCACCGTCGACGTCGAGAGTAACGTCGCTGACGTTTACCCCGTCGCGATCCATCCCTTTCGAGTCGTCCGACGGCGTGGACACGAACAAAGAGACCAACACGAAAAGGAAAATGGTAAATAGGCAAGTGAACAAGAAGAAGGTGGTCAATCGATTCGATTTTTTCACGTATTTTTCGACAATTAGCTTTTCCTTTGAATTCAACCCCGACCAGAACAGCTCGCACTCGTTCAACATTTGCTGACAGCTGCCGCGAAACAGCAACAAGATCGTGAACCTTGCTTGACCCCCTACGAACGACAAAACCAGCGAGAAGGTTTGGACGATGCTGATTTTCCAGAACATGTACAAATAAGAAATGCTGTAAACGGTCATGCAGAGAAACGCTAGACACGCCAACGCCTTTCTTTCCAGCGACCGTTGCTCACGCGAAATCACTCCGATAAATTTCAGCAGTGACAAGTTCAAACCGATCAACCGGTCGAACTTGGTCGCCACTTCGCGTCTCATCTTTGCTCCGTTACTCCCGGATCGACTAGTTTTTCGGTCTCTGCAAGACGGTAGGGAATAGGGGAGGCGTGGGAATACGAACGGTGATTGGAAATCTGCAGGAACACGACAGGTGGACCTGAAACACCTATCATTATCGGCTTCGGTACAGAATACGAAAGAAAACTTTTCCGACGAAGAATATTTGATCGCGCTGCAAACACGCGAGTTTTTTTTAGCATCGCACGAGACCGAAGCGTATCGGTATGGGGAGTGAAAAGGAGACCCAAGGGGCGCGCGTGGGAAAATGCGGGGATGCGAACGGGTCGTCCCATCTAGTGGAGGCGTGATAGGAGGTGACGAAGGGGTTCGCTCGATGGAAAACCGAACAAGACGCGGAAAAGCTGCGGCGAACAGGTTATCCTAGGAGAAACGCTCTTTATCGACGCCGACGTCGACGTCGGGACGGCGACGCGGCGGGTTCCGAGGGATGGCGGTAAAGTAAGATCGATCGTGCAGCTGGAAAACTCAGCCCCGTGAAGCAGCGTCAGGGGTCGTGGGGTGAGTAGAGCCAGCAGCGGGGGTGGGTGAGGTCGCAGTAGGGTATACCGCGATTCCATAGGAACGCAAGAGCGCAGTTTCGACGGAAAGTCGCGCGTACGGTGACCGAGGTGAGAAAAGAAGAGAAAGAGAAAAAGAAAGAAGCCGCCAGCGACGGAAGAAAATTCCGCGGACGATCGCGATGGTTCGCCGCTTCGTCCGGTCCGCATTTCTCCCGATCTACCTCGACCCGTTCGTCGACACGTGATCGCTCGACGAATCGTCTCGTCGAGATACCGTCGGGACCATACGCGCTACGACGGTGGACCTACGTAAGTAGAATAATTAAAACGAGCAACCCCGATTTGCAATCGGCGAGTAAGCTCGCCAACGGCGAAAACTACCCTTTTGCTCGAGGTCGGGTTCTCTCGTCCCGGACCTACGAGACCGATCGATATCCTACCATCCCACCCTCCACTCTTCCTTCTCTTTCCTTCTCTTTTTGCGCATAAGTTGCCACGTATCTACGTAAGTCATGCGATTCTATTGCCTATTTCTATTTCCGTATATAGCGTTGCTACTCCGATCGCCTATTATCGCGTTTACGTTTAACAGTTAATCAAGCGGTTGGGTTCCACGTAGCGACGCGACGCGGCGCGGCTCGGTGACCGCAATTGTTTTCGGGATTACTCCGTTTCCTGATTTCCCTTTCCAAAGCTATCTCGCGACCTCGCGACTTTGCCACCTCGCAACAGAGAATCGCGGCCGCGGGTAGGAAACCGCGAGTCGACGCGAGCAGCAGAATTTTCCGGTTTACCTTGAAATCGACGCGTGACCGAGTCGGCTCGCATTCATTCGTTTGCATTTGCGCGTCAAGCGAATTAGCCGTCACACGATACGTAACGCGCTATGAGAACGTTCGTTAGCGACGCACCGCGCCGGGCCGCATCGTTCCGCGCTCTTAAACTCCAAAACGCTCGCGATTCGCGATCACTATTTCCCGATCGAATCAGTGACCAAAGAAACGCCGAGGTTGCTAAGTGCGCAATCTTCGACTTCCTTCCGACGCCTTTTCGCCGACCGAGCGAATTTCGAACATAAACTTTGGCATAGACAAAGACTCGGTCGAAAGAGAAGACGAGGGGTGGAAGGGAAACGGGATTGTTAAAGTGTTTTAGCGTTGCTCGAGCTCCTTCTCTGTTCGAGTAGTCCTCTTCGGTACCCGGTGTGCTTCGCAAGCAGAGGATATCGCGGTTAGCTTGCTCACGGATATCCGCATTGTTTCGCGTCAACCAGCCAAGTCAGCTGACCTACATCGAACAGCGGCTAAGCAAAATGGGATATCGAGCCACTCGATGCTCATCTGCGGACAAACCACTCGCGATCCCTAGAGACCTTGCCGGCGGCCGCCCAAACCGCGGCGGCGTCCTCCTACTCGACGCCGCTCTTCCGTTAAATCCCTTCTTCGATTCGCGTTTCGCGCTTCGTCGCAGCCGATATCGCTTCAACCGTTTCCGTCCTTTCCCACTGTAATTCATTCGTTACATATTCCACGCGTTTTACCGCCTCTCTGTTCTCCGCCTCCCTCGCGTTCTCGACACTTGATCATCGCGCAACCAGCTGTACAGTGGGCCGATTTCGTTTCCGACAACAGCCTTTTGCCTTCTGTTTCGTGTCTCGTGTCCCCGCGCTTCGCCGATCATCCAAGTGGCGGGACGTTCCCGATACGAAATCGTCCGTTGCGAAACATCTCGAGAAACGACGAGTCATGGGTTATCGTAACGTCAGTAGACACGTTGATTAATCGATCGATTAAAGATAACAGGTGCAGTCTGTTACCGTATCGCTTGTGCATCGCTCCAAATCAAAAGCTGGAAGAAAAACTGAAGGAACGTACGGAAAAAGGTCATTGATAAAGGTTTGTAGTTTAATCGGGCTGATCCATCGAGAAAAACGGAACAAAATTAGTCTAGCGTCGATGTTGAACGGTGATAAATAACGATCAAGGTTGCTCGCGTACGCAAATGTTTCATCGACGCTTTCGTACGTTTTCGACTGGCATCGTACACCGACAACGCGACCAACTCGCGTTCCGTTCCTCCTCTTCTGCTTCATTTTCTCCTCCTCTGCCTCATCTTTCCCCTATAATTCTTCCTTTACTCTCCCCTCTTCCGGCTTTTCGACAAGTCCGCGTGCCGTACTAAAAATAAATACGAAGCATCGTCTTCCGTGCAAGCCACGATGAAAAGAGGAAAAAATAAGAAGGAAAACGGTTCCGAACAGTTTCCCCGGAGACGGATACGGATACGCGTTGTCTTCGACGCGGTAATTTGCATGCGTCCGCGTGGCGCGCCGGCGACGCGACAAAAACGAAAGAAGAAAAGAAAAGGGCCCCGGCTCTCGAGTTAACTCGTTCCATTCGTTTGATTAACGTTGGAAATTAAATACCGGGCGATAACGCGTCCGCTACTCGCATGCCGATCGTTTACGCCCCCGATACGAAGCGAGACCAGACCAGACGAAACGATACGATACGATACTCGAGACACTTCGTTCGATTCTCCTACGCCTGCGAAAACAAATGCGATCAGTTTCATGGTTTTCATCAACCTGATCGACCGTTCATTCTATTCCATTTTTCTAGATTTCATCGAAATGAGGGACCACCCGTCACGCGTTTTCTTCGATTCAAGATAAGAGACGGCCGTCTGCAAGCAGCTCGCTAAACGTGGCCGCGAACGATGCGCTACCAACAGATTTTCAAACAGCAGCTTCTTCGAGCACAGCATATCGTACACGACAGCTTTCTGCCGGGCAAACCGGTGAAAGAGAAACAAGGGAGGCTGGACAGGGCGTCCATTCTGTTTCGGAACGGCCGCTTAAGAATGCCAGCATGAGAGGTGAGAGAACAAAGTTGTTTATCGATCCGTCGGATCAACGTTGATCTCAACGTTTCAACCGTTCTTCCAGGATCGTCGTTTTTGGGAACGATCAGATCTGTGCGTGGAACTTTCCTGAGGATGCTCGTTTTCGTCTTCCTGGCAACGTTCCTTTGGCTTCAGCTTCACGTTATCAGCCTGACCGGTCGAGATTCCGCGGGCCAAGCCTCCTCCAACGAGACGTTGTTCGCTCTCGTGCCCCAAGAACTGCACAGGTAAGCGTTTCACGGTATTAGGTATAGATGTGTACTTACAATTAAATGCGATTAGATAAAGAGATCGTCTCGACCGGCTGGAGAGAAAGAGAGATAGAGATAGAGATAGAGAAAAGGATTCCAATGATTTTTCACAGGTTTCTAAAAGAACGTCGAAACGGCTCGTCGACGTTGGCGAACGCGAGCGCGGAAACGCTGAGCGAGCTCGAGATAGCGGAGATTCGTCGGAACATAGAGAAAGCGAACGCCGAGCAAAGGGTGTACAACGAGGAGTCGTTCGGTCCGTTGGCGAACGACGCTCCCGTGATAGTGATCCAGGTGCACACGAGACTCACCTACCTCAGACACCTGATCGTCTCGTTGGCTCAAGCCAAGGGCATCGAGCAGACCCTGCTCGTCTTCAGCCACGACGTCTGGCATCCGGACATCAACTATCTCGTGCAGAGCGTCGACTTTTGCCGTGTCATGCAAATCTTTTATCCTCACAGCATACAAACTCATCCTCGAAGCTTCCCCGGCGAGGATCCGAACGATTGTCCCCGAAACATACGCAAAGAACAGTGAGTAACTCTCTTCCGAGTTCGCTCGTGCCGCTTTTTCTTCTTTATTCCTCCTCCTCCTCTTCTTCTTCGTAAACACTTCTCTGCTTTCTTACCACTTTTGTCGACGGTCGTTTTGTTTCCCGGGGTGCATGTGGCCGTTCGCGCATCACCCTGTAGGGCGTTGAGTCTCGGCTGCATCAATGCCAAACACCCGGACCTCTACGGTCACTACAGAGAGGCCAAGTTCACGCAGACCAAGCATCACTGGTGGTGGAAGGCGAACCGTGTGTTCGATCAACTGACCGTCACTCGAAATCACACCGGCATGGTGCTTTTCCTCGAGGAAGATCATTACGTCGCCGAAGACTTTCTACACGTTTTGAGACTGATGGAACGCACCTGTAAGCACAGCTGCGAGAGATGCAACGTCCTATCATTGGGCACCTATCTCAAGACTTACAATTACTTTGCCGACTTTAGTCGAAAGGTGAGAACATCACGAATTGATTCAGTTTGCTGGCGCGCGCGAGTCCGATTGCTCGTTGATTCGTTACGATTCGATTTCGTCTTCTCCTTATCCGCCTTCTATTTTCTCCCTTCTTCGTCGAATCATCGAAATCGTCGTTAACCAACGAGGAGAACCATCCTCGGTATATCCTCGTCGCGTTGTTCTGGCTCGCTTCGTCGCTTTCGAATTCAATTGTCGCGTCGCGACGCTTTCGTTAACTCGTCAAATCCATTCTTTCTATCTCTCTCTCTCTCTCTGTCTCTCATTCTGTCAATCTCTTATCTCTTTCTCCCTCATTCTTTCTCGCTCTGAAAAACGCGGAACGTTGAAAAGGAACGAGAAAGAGGACAGGCAAAAGGGGTGTGAAACGGTAGTCGAGTCTCGTTAATCCCCGATAATGGATCGTAAACGCGAGTACGTACGAATCGTTGGTACGATAGGTGGAATCCCTATCGAACAACAGCACCATGTCATAGTGAATATCTGTGTGTCGATGTTTCACGCACGCCCCGTCCGTTAGTTCCTTGGCGTCAACAGCGCTCTGCAAAAGGAGTTCCTGCGTGGATTAAAGAGGCGGGAAGCGTCGACGGGACAGCAGTCGACGAAAACCGAGGACAACGGCGGTATCAAGGCATTTCCTAGCAACGGCGTCCCCACCGGCGGCAGCAACACCGGCAACACGAGCGTGACCGGAAACGGCGCTCTTCTCTTAACCGTCGTCAATCGGAACGCGCACACGGGACAATCTGCTCCCGCATGGGCTTTCCAGCTCCTACCCGATCTCTACAATCATTATCAAAAGGTTGCCCATTATGGCTTTCGACGACACGATACGATCCGATACGATCCGACACATAACGACACGATACGCCACCAGAACCCCCTTCGTTTCGCGTGCCTGCTGCTCCAATTCATCTACACGACATCGTATTTTTTGCTACATTCGCACGCGCCATTTCAACATTTTCAAACATTCTCCTTCGCATCTTCCGACACACCAGACAGACTCACTCGATACGCGTTCGCGATCGCTCCGCGACCCTTCACGTTTCCTTCGCTCTCTTTTTTCTTTCTCTTATTTTCTTCCTCTCGTTTAGATCGTTTTCAAGCGCAATTTTAAAAATTCTCTTCAACGTTTATCCCAACAGGCCGAAGTGATCCCCTGGATCTCGAGCAAACACAACATGGGAATGGCGTTTAATCGAGTCACGTGGAACAAACTGAGAAAATGCGCGGCCCAATTTTGCTCCTACGACGATTACAATTGGGACTGGAGTCTTCAACACATCGCGCAAACCTGTCTGCCCGCGAGCAAAGGAGCCGGGATCGTGCCCCGCACCGAGTCCGGTTTGGTCACGATGATGATGAGAGCGCCAAGGGTTTTTCACATAGGCGAATGGTAAGCTTTCTCCACTTTTTAGCACTTTACTTTTCCCCTTCGTTATCTTACTCCCTCTATGCCTGTTTAAACAGCGGAGTCCATCACAAGAAGACCAACTGCGAATCGACCGCCGTCATAGCAAAGGTTCAGAACGTTCTAAAAGCTGCCCGAGATCATCTGTTTCCTACTCAACTGACGCTTACCGTGGCTGGTACCGCGAAAAAGACGAAGCTCCGAAAGGGCAACGGTGGATGGGGCGACGTACGAGATCATCGACTTTGTTGGAACATCACCGTTTACCCGGATCTCATGCTACCTTGAAACGGAGACTCGATCGGAGTCGGGAGCGATCGATAGCGCCGTTTATTGCCCACCGCCTCTACTTAGCCTCGCCACACGTTTCAGTGGATCGGAGCACACTTGTCCTACTCTAGTCATCGCATCGGATGCGTTGCAAGGAACAATTTTACGACGGCTTTCTTCGAGCCGAGGATCGCTCGCGGCCCAACGTATGTCACGCGATCCGGATTCGCGCGCGACCGAAATAAACCTAACCACCGAGCCAGTCTATCGCGAATTCTACGTAGCCTAAACGCTACCCGTTTTATATTTGTAACAGACATCAACGAAAATAAACGAATCGACCGATTTTCTTTTATTCGTCGATCTTTTAAACCTTTTTATTTGTTTTATTTGTTCGTAACTCGTCGGACGAGTGCAGCAACCGTGTCACCGACTCGATACCGTTTTCCTCTCAACGTTTAAAATCCCAAAAGCTTCGAGTACGCCGGCACGTTATCGTCGTATTCGGCCATCAGATAGTTTCCAGCTATCGGACCCTCCAGATCATACTTCTCCGCAAACTTTTTAATGGAAAATCTTCTTCGCTGTGGACCGTCTCTGCAAATTGCCAACTTAGTTGTTATTTCGCGATCTTTAGTCTAATGAACACGTTCGAAACGAGCGTTTACCTGTTGCTCAATCTTCTCTCGTCGAAGGTGATTGATCCTTGATTTTGCTTGTAAACCAAAAACACGTACCGGTGTTTTCCGCTACCTTTAGGTGGTGCCGGTCCAACGTACTCTGCCAGTACCTCTCCTTTCGCGATGTTCTCCTCCGGGATGTTTCCAACCAGCCAGTGCCGGAATTCACGATTGTATCCCTTTCTCATCGGCACGTCAGGATCTGTGTGCAATCACATAAATGATCAACGCAGCAACCATTGAATCGTCTCGGCTCGTCTCGTCGCGTCGCAAACGCGGCCACGTACACCGAGAAAACGAGTTTCCTCGGGTCGGCTCGGTGAAAGTATAGACGACGGCTCAAGGAGGAGGATAAGGTAACTTAAGGTCGCATTCTTTTTCTCCTTGCCTCGCGATCGAACGACAATCTGGCCGATGCGCACGCAACGAGGGACCGAATCAAAATTTTAAACAGCAATTTACTGTCCCGACGAAAAGCTTACCTGTCATCACCAGCGTGTAAAGCACACCCCCTTCGTGTTTGTAATGGATCTCAGGAATCTTTTGCGTCTCCGTCGGTGTAAACTCGTTACCAAACTCGGCCGATTTCTCTCCATACTTTACCTAACTTTCAAAAATTACCTTTTAAAACGATCAACGTACATATATGGTAAATAGCTGTATTTTCACACAAGCACTCTCTCTTTCTTTCTCGCATACATACACGATCTCTCTGTTCCTCTTTCAAACATTCGCACCTCGATCTTCTCAGTAGGCGACGCGTCTATGATGTCCGGCACAATCTTTGCTTTTTCGAATTCCGTTCGAGTATCCGCAGCTCCTGTGGCCAAGCAAACGCAGCAGCTGAGAATTCCTGCAATTTAACGTGGAATTAGTGACAAATGTTGCAAACGCGAAACCAAATAGTCAACCATCGAGTATACACGAACCTATTAGCACAGAGTACCTCATGTTGACGTGTACTTTATGGTAAACGTATCCGTTGCTCGGTATCGACAAACTCGAATCCATACGGCTGGAGAGAAACGTTTTATTCGATCGACAATCCCCACTCAACCTATAACACGTCAAGGATTCTCGCTTTGCGTTCTACTTTTTCTCTCTGTCCGACGTTTAAGCATTCGCGTCTCTTCCCCACTATTCGACTCGATACTTCCCAAGTTTTCCATTTGCCATACGGCAACTGTTAAAACAAAGTAAATGGTCAAAGGATGCAGCTATAAAACAGCCATCGACAAACAACTTTCTCGCAAATTCTCGTTCAACCACACATTTTTACTCGCCGATCTCCGATTTCGCTGCAACTATGTCGTGTCTAAACGATAGATAGCAAGATAATTTTTTACTCTCCCCTTTTCGCGGTACTCCCATACTACAAAACGTCTGTCATCGCGGTTCGGCGATGACAATGTAAGCGTAAACGTTACATTAGAGGCATGTTAAGTAACAATGACACGAAGAAAAAAAATCTTCCACGCGTAAGTAAGTGCTTCGTATAAGGTTTAATTAAAAATTGTTTCAGTTTACAAATATCTATGCTTATCAGTTCTATCCATAGTATAGTATTTTAAGCGCCCAGTTGTTTGTAAAGAATCGGAACGTAGTCGTCGAATTCTGCCTGGTACATGTTCCCGGCGATAGGATCACCCAGCTTATATTTCTTGGCAAACTTTCTTATGGAGAAATTTCCTCGTTTGTCGGCGCTCCGGTTAGTTAGACGGGGCTCGTCGAACGTCAACTTTCCAGGTTGTTTGTACAACAGGAAAACGTAACGATGCAATCCGGTGCCTTCTGGCGGTCCCGAACCGATGTACGCGGACAGGACTTCTCCTTTGGACACGTCCGAGCCGGGAATGTTTCCTACCAGCCAATGATGCCATTCGCGGAAAGTTGGCTCCTTTCGACTTGGTGCATCGGGATCTGTTTAAACGAACAGCCAATCGTTAGCGATATCGGAGCGAAACTATTCGCTCAAATAAATACGTACCAGTCAGGCAAAGGGTGTAAAAAGTATTTGGATCTCCGTTCCATGTAACGGTAGGTGGATCCTTCACCTTGGTCGGAGTCAATACCTTGCCAATTTCGACGGAAATGTTACCCGAATAAGTGACGCTCAATACAGATTCCGGGACCTTATCGACAACATCGGGCACAACGCCGTTAGTTTGCAATGCTTGAGCCATACTTGACAACAGACGACTTCCAAGTTCCACCAACGGTTTCCTTCCAATCGAAGTTGCTAAAAATGCAGATACAATTAATTCATGAAACTTAACCTCTCTTGCGACCGATCAAAACTTTGAACAGGGATATGGAAAACAACCGACGCAATTAACTTTATTGATCAACGTCAAACGATTGTATTCGTATAACCTTCGACAGTTTGTCGGGATTACTATTATGTCACTAGAAATAGCAAAAGAATAGCAGGAAATTCAAAAAGACAAAAGAACAAACTCGTATGCCGGCTCTTTTGAAGAAGAGGATACATGGGATGTATTATCACTGATTCAACGAGTATTACGTTTAGTTAAGAAAAGCAGTGACATGTCCCAACACTTATAGATCCCTAATCACAACACTAAATATACTTGGAATAAAACTGACTTTGAACCCGGTACTCTTACGGCGAGCTGATATTTCACCTTTGATTCCTCTCTGCCCTACTTTTTAGTCGTACGTTCGTTTTGCAAATATTGCGTGTATCAATGGCGCTACACGTTGCTTTATATACGAGATGTTCGCCATCTACCGATAATTACCGAACAACGCGTACTGAACAATTGCAATCAAAGTTTTCGAAGGTCCCAGATAACCCTAGACGATAGTGTCTGTTTTACCACACCTCGCACTGAAAACTGAAAAGATAATATTTTGATTCCGTTTGAATAAGTGTGAATTATTTAAAAAAACCGCGATTTGCGGAATGGAATCATTGATGCTGAATAAGAAATCCGTAATTTGGAGATGTGCAACATTGTTGCTAAACGAGAAATTTGAGGCTTCTTTTTTTTATCTAATCTTGATGGATCTCTAGTCACTAAACAGTGACTACATTATTTAAACAAATACGACTTGTTTGCAAACCTATCAAACGAGAAGAGGATTGTGAAGAGAGGATATTTCAATCTATTTCAACTTTAGGGAACGATTTATTACAAATTAGAGATACGTGTGACATATAATAATTTTGAGTCATATATTATATGTATACATACACCCTGCCGCAAAAGTATTCGTCCACTATTTAAAACAGAATACCTTGTTTAAAATTGGATCAAATGACTTCAGGTTTCACGAGAAGCTATACAAATTAATTTACTAAAATATGTGTCTTTGTCGTTTTAAAAAATTAAAATTTGTCGAAAATTGCGACTTTTAATTACTTATAACTTCTAAGTCCATCGACCGATCTCGATGAAATTTTCAGCATAAATATAACTTATTTGAATCTACCAAAGATATATTTTAAATTTTCATTATAGGCTCACATAAAAAAGTTGAAAAATTACCCTTCACTATTTTTTTTCACGATTTCAACAAATTGTAATTTTTTAAAACGATAAAGGCACATATCTTAGTAAATTAATTTCTATAGCTTCTCGAGAAACCTGAAGTCATTTGGTCCAATTTTAATCAAGGTATTCTCATTTAAACGGTGAACGAATACTTTCGCGGTAGGGTGTATGTACATGCGTATGTCGCTACATCGTACATCTTTTATCTCATTCATACATACACACACACACACACACACATATATATAATATATACAGAAATACATCGCATGGAATTTGCACTTTCGGAAACGCTTTAATCTCTTTATAAATGACTTCCTCGCGTTCTTTTTCTTACTTAACACATAATGTCTACATATATATGTATTTATCATTTTTTACACGCACGCGAGTAGAGATACATGCTAAACTTTGGCGATACGAAATAGCACGAAACGCGGACGCCGCTAAAAAGAATAGCGGAATAATTTGCGCGTCAACGTCCCGAGATCTGGAGAAAAGTCTGACGACACGTAACCCGAAAACGTAACTTGCTATTAGGCCTTACTAGCTGTTACGTGCACACATTACGAAACTGATAACCCGTGATTACAAAAAAGGACGTACTAACAATCATGTTCGTGGCGACATCGCGTTACGTTCGTTTGTTCGTTGTCATTCGTCGCTGAAAGCAAACGCTTTACGATTTCTTGTACTCGAATTAATCTACTATTTACATACAAAGTACAGATACGAGCGTTACTAACAACAGTTGCACTTTTCCGAGTACATTTTTATCGGGCCTACAAACTTCCCCTCCTTCTCATGTTTTACTTATTGTCAGCTGCATCGACAAGCATCGATCGTATATAAGAGGAAAGAAGAAGAATACAAGCAACGAGAAACGGACAAACAGTTTCAGAAACCTAAACGTTTGAGATTGGACCGAGTGACGGAACCGGTGATTCTCGATCTTTCACCTTGCCAGCTTTTGCTTTTATTGCGAAATTGTCGAAGATCGGCCTCGTGATCGGGATGTCTCATCGGTCTGTAACCCTGCGGCGAGCACAATCCCTTCTGTTCTCTGTAAAATTGTTCGTATCCACCGTGCAAGAGGTAAACTTCCGGATAATGCAACGCGGGGTAATGTTCCTTGTTCCTTTGTCGATCCAAGTTTCGTAGAAACCGCGAGAGATTCGGTCCACGTTCCCACGAGAATTCGCAGTGGAATACCAGAATATTTCTCTTGTTCGAATCCGGCTGAATTTTCGGCGTGTTCGTCAAAGGATCCAACAAGATCCGCTCGATCAGATCTTTACTGTACAAATTGAGAGCACCATCGATATGACCGGCATCGTACTCGTAAGGATAACGGCAATCAACGATTTGGAATGAACCGATTCGATCGTTGAATTCTCCGCGTATCAAGGCGGCTAACGTATTGGTCGAAATCGATTTCAAATCATCGTGATGACCGGTAGCCAAAGGTAGAACGCACGGTTTACTAAAGTCTCCGGTAAGATCGGTATCGGTGGTGCTGCGATGAATAGCCGATTTAATGTGCGCGTGCTTCTCCGAATCGGTCGTTTCTCCATTTCTCGTTATCTCTATTTCCATCCCCATCTCTATGTCCGCTACCGTCACGGTCGAAGGCGCCGTCATGGAAACGCTTCTCTGCAGAATTACTGGCCTTGAATTGGACACGACCATTTCGTCGGCGTCCATGTTTCTTACAATATCGAAAAAGTTACAACCGCTCGATCTCCGAGATCTTTTCGCTAACGTCGGGCTCTCGTCGATCGGTGGATCCGGTCGTTTGAAAGCTTTCACCGACGACGGAGACTCGTAATCATTGTTCGTATTTTCCCGACGGTAATCGCTGAGAACGTTGTAATCGCCGCCGAATCGTCGACGACGGAACATCGCTGACCGGTTATCTTCGAAAGGCGAATTTACGGTGGGCGAGTTACCGCTCGGTGATCGAAACAAACAGGAGCGTACTTTCGAAAGGGATGGTCGTTTGCGAACTTCCGGCCTATCGTTTTGCAACGACAAGGATCTTCGGAAATTCTTGGTGCAATCGGTACGAGCAAACTCTGGGGTGGTTGGATTGCTCGAGCCGACATTGAACGGTGAAGCGTCATCGAGCAGGCTCGTCAAGCCGGTGTCAGTGATCGTACTACTACCGACGATATCACCGCAAAGAAGAGTCGAAATCCCGTTCGGCAGTTGGGTCGCGTCGTCCAGAGTCTCGACGTCGATTAAATCGTTGAAACCGTCGTCCATGCTCTCGTAACCGGAGGAGACGCTTCGGAATAAGGAAGATCGCGCGATTCGCGTCCGCTGTGGCGAACATGGTACAGGCGATTTCATCGGGCTGCGGCATTCGATCGACATCCGCCGAGGAGCGACAGCCAATGGTTCAACGAATCGAAACGTCTGCCGCGGCTTTTCTTCCTTCTCCGGATAACTAGTCCCGTATCCACTGTCTTGACTGTTTGGATCACAGTCTTCCAATGGATAACGAATCTTCTTTGCACCGGCGAACTAAACAAAAACAATCTATTATACAAATGTCGTTAAAATTGTTTCGGTTTTATCAAATATCGTATCAGGTTGTGCATGTTTTCTCCTCCCGATCGTCCCAACTATCAACCTTCGACTACACTTCCGGTCAGAGGCGCAACGACCGTGTCCGGTGTCTGGTGTCGCGGTGAGATATACATACGTAAGTATCTCGAGGGGGACGATCGATTATGGAAAATTAGCCTCGTACAATGTCCAGATCCATCAAAAGATTCCAATCGAACGAAAACATTGTATTTCTTTCTCTTATCTTTTATCTTTTAAGGAAAACGGAAAACCATTCAAACGCGAACCATCGAATAACATCGAACGACAGAACAGGTGTACGAATAGTTTTTCCATCCCCTGTGTCACCGACGCAAAAACTGAACGATACTTTACGCTATTACAATCTAATTTATATAATTAAATAATACAAAAATTACAATATGAAAATAAATATAAACAACATACCTTTTGTGGGCTGGCGGCATTGCATGGACTATTGTTTTCTTTGTCGATAGATGGCGAAACTGGCTCCGGACTGAGAATGCGTCGTGAAGCCATGCCGAGGAATCGACGTGCTCTTGGTCTCGATTTCACCGTGTTCTCGGGTGTATTTTTAATTTTGAACGCATTTTTGAAGAGCCTGTGAAACAGAGAAACGAGTAAAGTTAGGAAAATTAATCGTGCCGCAAAGTGCAACCGTAAGAGGATAACCTAACCTTAAGGAATTTCACGTTCGATAAACATCCGATAAAAATACCGGTACAATCTATGATTTATATAATCGATCGAAGAAAAATGCGAGCTTTCGTCGCTTGTGTCGTTAGATTGCATGCTACGCAATACATTTTCACCTAAAGTTTATCACAGTAAGTGCTATAAAAACAGCTTGTTTTTTTAGTGTTTATCTGCGCAACGACATCGCAAACGAACGAGGCAACGAATTGTATCGTTGCTCGTTCTAAAAATATCGTCAACTATTTCTTGAACATTACTAGCTTAGGTTTTGCCACGATAGATCCATTAAACGCGTTATAATCTGATTAAACGAGAATATTCTTGCACGAAAAAACCCGACGAAACGGTTTGATGAGCCACATGGGCCACATGGGCAGAATGCGATCCCGCCAAATTTAGCGCATGCGCATCGACCTATTGTGCATTAATAAAAAATTTACAAAAAATTCTACACCATCACAACGTTATTACGTTTTCATTTCGAAATCCTCCAGATCGACTCTATGAAAGATCAAAACTACGATCACCAACACTAACGAAGAACAAGAAAACTGATCCTGGTATAAAAACAGGTAGCGAAACTATGCAACAATAGCATTAGTTTAATTATGTATCACGCGGGTACTGCGTAGCACGCACAACACTGAAGTTGCAAAAAGCGGGGAAAAACTAACAGGATGGAAATGTAACGACTAATACCTTGTGCACTGGCACACTTCGCACGAATCCGCAACATTTTCCCAAAACATATCAACGACGTTGTACGCGAATGCGTTACACGAAACGAGGTGAGACAGACACAGGAACTGATGTAATTCTGAAACTTGTATTACGACACGGGAAAATAAGCATAAATTCGCGTATCAACGATCTTGATCGGGCGATGTCTCGCCACGAGTCCGATCGTGCAGCGAACGAGAACAACGTCCTACCAGCCCGCAAAAGTCGTACAAACTGTTCGAGGTGGCGGGAAGATCGGGCTTTATAACGCGACGGTCCGGTAGGGTAGGGAGTAGGGCCGACCAATCGAGAGCTGGGAAAGGGCCCGCCTAAATCTTCTCAGGGCGAGCAAGGAGAGAACGGAACGCGGAATTCTCTCTTTAGGGCAACCGCTATGGGGGGCCCTTTTCTGCCTCTTTGCCGCCACGTCTATTCGTTTATCCATTACGTTTGCTCGTTCGTTTATTCTCTCGCTCTTTTAAGTTTTAACACATGCACGTTCGTTAAATACAAACGCAGAACAATATGCATCTGTAACAAATGTTGCACGACGATGTCATCGTCGCTGTTCCCGTCAATTAATGCTAGAAAGAATCGTTTGCCCCTTTCATTCGATTGCGTAGATCATAGATAATCGAGAATTCGTATAACCTGTCTGAAATACTGTTTCCAGTTACATGCTTTTGAAACGCGCATTGCGTTTAAATGATCGAGGAGATGAAAATATTTAAAAGACACATGTATAAGCATGTATTTCGTTAAAACGACGAACCGTATTCCCTTCCTTCCTTCCCGTCTCCGTCTCATTGTCAGTCTCATCGTCGGTCTCCCTCTTTCTGTCTCTCTCGGTCTCCCTTTCTCTGTTCCACACGTATGGATATACCCGGTCATTCACTGACTAGCTCGCTTCGATACCAGAGCGGAAAAGGTTGCCGACCGTAGGAGTTGCTCGCACTGAAAGGGCCAGCTTCCATCTCTTTCGTTTTCACAGTGTTCCTTATTCCGTCGGTTGATGCACCGACTGTTCCGAAGGATGCAGCTCTCAGCAGGTACGACTCGGTCCGTTTTTTCATTCTACCGATCACAATGCTTCACCTGATCTTCGATACCACCCTCGCATTCTTCGAAGATTTTCACACGGCAGGTACTCGTTCGTAAAGCTCGATAGCGTAAAGGTGTAAACGTAACCTACAGTTATACATACGGAATACCCTACAGTCCAGAGGTACGATTCGATCAAGCAGTATACAGAAATCCGAACGACTTCGCTACAATTTCGTATCATCTGATGTATCACTTCTTTCGACCTACCAGATAACGAATGCTACGAACAATTTCGGAGACGTTAGTTATTTTCGGTTCCCGTTACCCTTGCTACCCAGATTCGAAAGAAACCAACGAATGCCCCTAACGAGAGGGAAGATCCGAGGGGTGTAAAGCGGGGGAGAGAGAAAACAGGGACGTTAGATCGAGTAGACAGGGGGTCGGTATCGAGAAGGGAGTCGGGAAGGAACGCATCGGGTCGTTCCCAGTAATCATGACTACTCGCAAAGATTTTTCGCCATAGGGCATCGAACGCGTACAACGCGCGATACCATGGGGGTAGGTCAGCTGCTTTCTGCCATATACCGGGGTGTATCGGAGACCCCTCATACGCAGCTGCTAAATCAGTCACCTTCGTCGTCGAGACACGTTGCACCACCTTCGGACGACTCCTTGTCGACGATCGATCGACGAAAGATCGTTGGCCGATTTAAACTTTCATTTTGATCCAAGATCGCTCGGCCGTTCTTTTCTCTGCCTCTCTACTCTCTGCACATGTAGGTACTTGTATTCAACTACCTCCTCCTCTCCTGTTACCCATTTCCGTTTTCGCTCCTGTCCACACAGGTGGGATACAGTTAACCGAAACAGGCGTGTCGCGTACCGGCTTATCTCGTTCGTGGTTCAAATCGAACGGTCGTGGTAAATTAACGAAAGAAAGATGCGAACGGGCGTAAACACGCGTTATCAGCGTTGACCAGCAAACGTCCACTCGCTTAGCGAGTTCCGAGTGCTTCGAACGTATAACGGACTGGAAGGGAACTCGAAATCGGGCGAACGCCCGTGCTCCCTACGACTTTGATTTTTCTATAAGAAGGAGTGCAGATGGTCGTATCCATTGTGATGGTTGGCACGTGCCAACTATGGGTACCCCGATGGTGCACCGCTAAGTGCATATATGCCTGTACGTATGGGAGACAGTGTTCGGAGCCAGCATGTGTGCCGGTACACACACGCGGCCAAACTTCGAATTGAGAAACGTTCGATACACGTTCGCGCACACGCGTATACGTATGTACGTACGTGTGTACGCGTGTACAGGCGTCGCGGCGCGGTGTCTCCCATCGACGACACAGGAGCGAAAAGAAACCCGGGGGAGCCATTTACGTAATACCTGACATAGGGTTCTCAAACGTTGGAGCCGTTTGCGCTTTTGGCGCGCACGCGTTCCAATTTACCAACGGCTCGTTTGCACCAGCTATTTGTTTTCAGGCTGCGGCGTTATCGAGCCGCGATAACGTCCAACGTTTCTTTACTTTGCTCCCCGCTCGGAACAAAGCGCCGTCGAACGTACGTTACGTCTGTTTGTCGGATCTGTCGCGCGTGAATCAATGAAAAGATTGACAAATCGAAGTTGTATTCCGTCGAACAGATACACCATTGGAAAACGGTTATATCGGAGGAATCGCATGACGATAATTGCCGGAATAGAAAGAATCGTTGCTGGGCGAATACAAATGAATCTCGCGAACGAATCGATTAGCACGCGCGAAGAACCACTGACAACGATGACCTCGTAACCGTAAAGTCTGGTAGAGAGCAAGACGGCTTTGCAGCTTCCTAAACGGGATCATCATCTGTTCCTTCGGGATCTCGAAGGGCGTAAAAGACAGCCTACTCGTTCCTCGCTATTCTTTCCGATACGCACAGCCGCCGCAGATGCACCATACGGGAGATCGAAATTCGCAATACGCTGGGAAACAGACGAAAGAAAGGGAGAAGAGATGAGGGAAGAAGAGTGCGGAGAAGAGGAGAATAAAAATTGTTCAAACCCCTGGCTAAGAAATATCAAAAGTCCCCTCTTCCCGACGAATAGATGGAAACGAAGGGAAGTCAGAAAAAATAATCACCCTGGGAAGGGAAGAAGCTGGGAGATAAACACATGGGAGACCGGTGGGTGGGTGGATGGGTGGGATCGAACGAAGATCAAAAGGGGAGTTATATACTTAAACGGGTAAAACCGGAAAGAAAAACAATGGGACGAGTTAATACCCCTTTCAGTATTGTGCGCGCGATGGAAAACAATCGGAACGATTTCGAGCTCCTTCTTAAAATCGAACAATGTCCCTCGAAGAAAAAGCTACAAACCTCGAATTTTCGGCTACCTTGCATCGCTCTCTGTCGCTCTGCTTTACTGGCGCTTACACAATAGAAGAAGGTATTCCAACAGATTTTCGTGCGAATTTACAAAGGGAAAAGCCCCGGGTAGTGTCGGCATTAGGCGCCGCCCACCTGCTAAACAAATTCCGTAAACGTTTCGTCGAAGCAACGAATTAACCTTATTGTTACCGGAAAGCAATTTTCCGTCGCCTTTTAAACGTTCCAGTACGAATTTTATGAGTGCCGTTTCGAGGCCGAAATTGACGGGCGTTTTTCCCCGATGAGCTTGAAACGTGCAATTATCGTTGGGTATGAAACGACGATCATTAGAGGGACACCACGTAATTACTTTTCAAAGCGTTTCCAAAGGTGACAAATATACTGTCGCTTTCACGCGGACGGTCCATTGTAATTCACGATCCAAATAAAGGTAATTGCCGCAATATAAGTCATCGGTTACCTACGGTTTTGAAAGGGTTTCTTCGAATTTGACGTTTTGCCGACTTTTGTTAGGAGACATCGAATAACGCGGACTTTGTTCACGAATACCTGCGGATTAGCCGGCGCTTACGAAACGAAATCGCACCTTCGGTTACGTGTAGGTAACGCACACTTTGAACGACCGGTCGCCTCTTGGAAGAGCGGTGCAACGGCAGCACCCAAGACCTTGGAACACGACCGACTCCGCTTATCGACGTTCAACCGCAACCGAAATATCGCCGCGATATCTTCCTTTTTCCTTCCTCTTCTCGTTCGACCGTTTCCCTTATCGCTCCGTCTCTTTCACCTTGTCCCTTCTCCATCTCCCTCTTCTTACTCTACCGTCTTTTTCCTCGCATGCTTTCATTCATGTCATCGTATGTTTCACCCACGTGTAACCGCTGCTTAAACAAGGAAGCGACAGAGGTAGGAGAGGGGAGAAATCGTACAATATGTATTGTATATGGATCGTCCGTGAAAAGTCGGTCGCGTCGAGCAATATGAGAGAAGAGGCGATTCGTGTCCAGTCAATCCTAACGACATCGTCTCGCGTTCATCGATTATTCGCATACGAGTAAGCTTCGTGCAACAGCTGCACCCGTATAGCGTATCGCGGGGGCAAACGTTAGACAATACGAGTACGGTGCACGGTGCCCACATGGGGCCGATCGAAAGTGTTATATGGGGGCGTGTAACGTTTCCTACATACCGTCAACATCTAACGCGCTCGATCGATCGTCCAAACTATTGTTCCTTGCTCCGTGCTGTTTTTTATGCGGACCCTCCGCAATTCGGTCGACCCGTTCAAATTCGGACGGAATAGGATAACGAACACGGCTATTGAAGCTCTTGGTAAAATAAAAGAATCGCAAAGTTAAGATCGACGTGTACCTTGCCTCCCCTCTACCTTTCAACAGTCCTGTGCTCCGTATCGTCAACGTTATCGTCGGAATGCGAGCACAACGTAACGGGCGGACCGAACTTTCCTAACGGATATCTCTGATGAACGAGACGAAAGGGAGCCGCAAAAACATGGAAATTATCGATCGAGATTGCA